TTGTTATATTGAGACCTATGAAAAATAAAACTGCTCAAGATATGGCCGAACATTTGATATCTATATTCAATTTGTTTGGCGCGCTTACAATTCTCCACACAAACAATGGGCGGGAATTTAAAAATGAAGTAGAATTTAAATTTTATAAATATTTTTAATTTTTAAAACATAAAAATATTTAAACATGCAAAATAAAATTCATTATCTTATATGGTATTTTTGCTAAATGTAACATCATTTTAAATGATAATTTTAATTTGGGAGACAAATATTTTCAAAGATTTCGGGTTATTTTTTAATGTTTAAAATATACGGGGATAGTTATCCTATGGTTTGGACTCTCCAATTGATACCATTGTAATTACTATACAAGTACCTCAACATTTTTTTAGACCATCCAAAAGATCGTGGACATGTGGCCAGGATGTAAATTGGTGCATGGAAGGCCGAGGCACTCCAAATCTCAGAGATCTGTCGAGCGTGCTAATAAGGATATTATGGTATTTATTTTAATTCAAAATAAATAAATTTAGTTTTATTTTTTAGATTAAATTACGTTGTTTTCTTCATGATAAGAAAACAACGTGTTGGGCTGACACTTTGGGAACGATACAGTTCCAAAAAAATATATCGTATCATAGAGGAATCAAGGCCTCAGCCTATGAGGTTATGTTTGGACACAAACCTAACACCTGGGATTCCTATATGCCAAGATAATTGAATTATATCTATGCAATTAAAAATTTACTTAAACCAGAAAAATCTGAGGATCCAGGAGAGAAGATACTGGTATATTCTTTTATTATTATTATATGATGAATTCGTTATAATATTTTATAGCTTATTTGGATGATGATATGAGCTTTTTCCAAAATCTGGTAGATTATACAGATATAAATTAATAAAAATATAATATTTTGGATAGGATTTTGAAAACAATACCATTTAATCCGAGTTTTTAAGATGCATTAGTTAACATATAATATTTTACAGCTAATAGTTTACTACATAGATATTACCCATCACCTAATCTTGGTAATATTTTTGTTTGGCAAGATGTATAAATTAACATAATATTTTACAGTTACTAGTTTACTTCATGAATATTACCCATCACCTAATCTTGGTAATATTTTTGTTTGGCAAGATGTATAAATTAACATATGATATTTTATAGTGGAAATTGAAAACAATAACTCCATCCAAGAATATTACTCATCACCTTTGGTATATATTTTGGTTTGATAAAATGTTTTAACATATAATATTTTACAGATGACAATGAAAATTCTTCTAATTCAATTCAAGAATATTATCAATCAATGGATCTAGGTATATACAATGCCTTTTATTAATACCTTATTTTATGAAATAATTTGGGTGATCAAGAGGTAAACCCCTTAATTATAGGAGATCAACTAAGGGTGCTCATAGTCATTTTCCCAATTTATTAGGTATTTATATTCAATATTGCAAAAATTAATTCTTAATTCATAGAAAGCGCGCGAAACGTTTAATATATTTGAATGAATTTGATAATGACGGTATCTAGAAAAATATATAAAATTTCATGAATATTTTTCTTTAGGTTATCCAATCGGCCCAGCGCTGAAATTCAACTTCCGTCATTTAAGTTATCATCCTTTTTAAATTAATAAATTATAACTTACAAATAAATATTCAGGCGATTATTACATAATTCATTTTGTAAAAATGTTTTTATGATATTTTTTATTTTTTAGGTGCCATCGATGAAATAGACTCAGAATCAGGATCAGAAGTAATGAATACAATCTGTCATTGTAAACAAAATTGCATGACAAATAGATGTAAATGCAAGACGCAAGGCCTCTAATGTGTCTTGCAATTCTCAGTGTCATTCTATAAATAATATATGTTATCATCCTTTTTAAATTAATAAATTATAACTTACTTATAAAAAATAAATATTCAGGCGATTATTACATAATTCATTTTGTAAAAATGTTTTTATGATATTTTTTATTTTTTAGGTGCCATCGATGAAATAGACTCAGAATCAGGAGTAATGAATACAATCTGTCATTGTAAACAAAATTGCATGACAAATAGATGTAAATGCAAGGCCTCTAATGTGTCTTGCAATTCTCAGTGTCATTCTATAAATAATATATGCAAAAATAAGTGATTATTTTATATTTATATTGTGAAAATAAAAAATGATTTGAAAATGTTGTTTTTTATATTGTCAAGAAATAAAATCTTGCAAGATCTTATAGGGAAGACTTGCTACCAGATTTCTGGTAAGAATATGGCGTAAAAATGTATTTTGACGTAAAATTTCCTTGCGTATAAACGGGGGGGGGGGTAAAAATCCCCACTTTTACTAAATCTAATTTGTTAAATATTATTTAAAAATTATAAAGTATTTACACCTATCAATAAACTAAAAATGTGTATATGATGTCATAAAAATAATAAAAAAATATAAAAAATAACGACCTTATAAAATTTTTGAGAAATTATAAAAAAATGAGTATAAACCCAAATATAATTTAAAATATAAACCGAAGGCCTTCGAAAAAAGAGTCTAACATTATTCAAATAAATTGTAAAAAAATTACCCAAAGGTTTTAACCTCTCGCAAAAATCTAAGATACACTTATAGTGTTTGGCATATAATCTTAGTTATTGTTTAGAATATTCCAATAAACTTGTAATTTTAGATCGTTCATTAAAGTGAATAGATATCTAAAATATATTTACTTTTAGATTTGAAACAAAATGTCAAAGATATTATAGTCAGTTAAAATACAAAATAACCGATGCAAGATTCTTTATTTCAATATATTTAGCAGTAAACATTTTAGAAAAAGTAAATTAATTTAATAAATGCTTTAATTATACATCTGCGAGCTATTATACATTATGTTAAAAAACATTTCCGACTGGTGTTAAGAGTAAAGTTTAATTATAATAGTGGAATTTTTTATAATTTTAAGTCATTAATACAATCATAAATCTCACCGAAATTTTTTTATCTCTCGTTTTTATAAAATCAAGGCATTAACGATTTGCAGGAAAATAACTCATCATTAATTTTGATTATAATAATTAAAAGGAAATTTAGGAATTTTCTTTAAATTTAACATGTTTACAATATATATTTTTACCTATTTACTAAAAAACTCAAAAAGTTCAAAAATTTAGATTATGACAATTGTCACTTTTCTATATTACATCCTCACTAATATTTTAATATAACAGGTTTACAGAACATATTTTTACCTAACTGTTTTGAAAAAATTCAAAAAAGCTCATAAATAACGATTATGACAATTGTCACTTTTTTATGGTACATCTTGACTGAAATTTTAATTTAACATATTTATAATATATATTTTTATCTATTTACTTAAAAAGAACTCAAAAAAGTTCAAAAATATCGATTATAACAATTGTCACTTTTGAAATTTTAATTTAACATCTTTACAATATATATTTTTACCTATTTAATTTTAAAAAACTCAAAAAAGTTCAAAATATAGATTATGACAATTGTCACTTTTCTATGGTACATCTTCACGGAAATTTTAATTTAACATGTTTACAATATATATTTTTACCCATTTGCTTAAAAAAAATCAAAAAAGTGCAAAATTACTGAAATTTTAATTTAAGATCTTTACAATATATATTTTTATCTATTTAATTTTAAAAAACTCAAAAAATTTAAAAATTAGATTATGACAATTGTCACTTTTCTATGGTACATCTTCAATGAAATTTTAATTTAACATGTTTACAATATATATTTTTACCCATTTGCTTTAAAAAAATTCAAAAAAGTGCAAAAATAACGATTATGACAATTGTCACTTTTTATGGTACATCTTCACTGAAATTTTAATTTAACATGTTTATATTTTTACCTAAAAAATTAGCGATCAAAAAATATATCAGGAAAAAATACGTAAAAAATAATTTTAGAAAATATTTAAAAATAATTTTATAAAATATTTAAAAAAATATTAAATATTATTAATCAAAAGATATATCAGAAAAAAATACATAAAAAATAATATTAAAAATTAGCGATCAAAAATTATTTTATAAAAATATTATATTTAAAACAAATTATATTATCTAAAAAAAATTATAAATTAAGTATAATAATAATCTTAAAAAATTTTAATAATAAATAAAATATTATTAATAATATAATATTACAAAAATAATACATTGCCTAAATAACTAATTCACCCTGCCTACCACCGTAACAAATTGCCTAAAATAATCAGGCAATGTGTACATTGCCGAAATAAACACATTGACTCTAACATATATACTATATACATATCAAAAAATGTCGTCAAAAGGATCGAAAATAATATCAATTTGAGAAGAAAAAAATTTGTTGCGTAGGTCAAAATAAGATAAAAAAATTTTAAGACCTACAATAGGTTTTTATATGGAATACGAATAATACAATTTCTAATGATTATATATATATTCTTCTATTTTTTTTCTAGATTTTAAATATATAATACACATATACAAAGAAAAAACATGTAATTTGCCATTTTAAAATTAAATGAAAACTCATTTAATGAGTTAAATGGTTGTTTTTTGATATATTTGTATAAAATATTTCACAGAAATCTAAGCTAATCAATCATTTTAAAAATCAAATTTATAACTTAGTCATTCTCATAGTAAATAGCGATTTTTGTAATAAAGTCCATTGTAGTCGTCGCAATTATAAAAAAAAGAATATTTGTGACTTCTAAACCTAATATATCACCATTTAAAAACCAAATATTTGGTGATTTAAATATTGACATTAAAATTAATTATCATTTTTTGGATAATTCGAAAATCGAGATGAATAATATTTTATTCGTAATATCCATCTTTAAAACGAATCAAATACTAAACTATCTGATTAGAGAGGAGGTCTAAACGCCATTGACTTCTTTCCCTTTTTTAGCCTATTTATAAATATAAAAGTAAAGGCTTACCATTTCTTCGAAATTTGTGTTAATAAAGGTTTGAGACTGTTTCGTTTCCTTAATTTTAATGGAGTCGTTAATCATGTAAAGTAGAGAAGTCGCTGGAGGAGCAGTTTTGATAAATTCGTGCTTGTTGAAAAATATGCATTATAAATAAATGAACGATTTTTAAAGATAATCTAAAAAAAAAAATCAGATGATAAACGTCATAATAAGAAATTTAGTAAATTTTGTCTAAAATTTATTTCGGATAAGACCTCATAAGAGCGTTCTAGAAGGTTCGTGAAGTTGACGGAATGACTTGAAGATCAAATTCCGAAACTTATGTCAATATTTAGTGCTTTAATTGGGTCTAATTAATCGTTGAAGTTAGTAAGTTATAAGAAAATAAAAAAAAATTCTTATGTACATGCCAAAAGAGGGGCAAGTTAGTTCTGATATGACAATGGCACGAATGCTCCGTTTGTTAGTTAAAAGCTAAAAAAGTTTTGGCATATGAAAATATCCAAAATGATGAAGCAGAAATACTCAATGGCAAATTTAAGTCATTTTAGCTCTTCTATGTATGCATACGTTCAGCCAATATGAAAATAGGTATTTGCCCAGACGCTTGATCATACGGTAAGCATAATTTTTTTACCAAGGTCTCTGAGGCATCTATGTGTAGTAGATTTAGTCTTGGTGATATTTATTAAAAGTTAGCATTTGTTCCGGTAGCCAGTAATGTATAAAAAATTTATCATAGAATGATCTTTATTATCACATGAGTCCACCTCTCGTTTTAACTAAAAAGGTTAAGATTTGGATATATTAGATGAATGAACGCTTGTCAGTGTAATATCAAATATCATCTGTGGCATTTCGACCGTCTCTTCGTAATAATCAATTGAATAAAAAAAGACTTATACTTTATAATGTATATTTCCTAAGGATAATATAAAAATATATTTGGAATCATTGTTAAAATATAAATATTGAATAATTCAAATGCTAATTTTCAAAATGGTATATTATATATATTTTAATGAAGAACTTAGTAGTCGATCTTGAAATTTGTAATAAAGCATGACGAAGCTGAGAAACTATATTTCGTTAAAGCGAATGATACAATTCAAAGACATGACTAAATAATGATTATTTTTTGTCATTTGCATATAATTAGTCATTTTTACACACTGATAGAAGCAGATGGGTAAAGACCTCGAGAAAGGCCTAAGATGACGTGGATAAATGTGCTAGGGGCGAATATGAGAAAAATAAATCTTACAAATATTGCATATTTACTATTTTCTTATAACTCACTAACGGTTTATTCAGCAGCTGTAGGGGCTGAAGAACAATAAGACACAATTAAGGCATAAATACTAAAATAAGTTTAAAAAGTTGTTCCTCATATTTTTCCACTAACTTAACAGACCACGGTCAAGCGCACAATGTTACTCCAATTAATTTATAAATTTATTTTTATAATGGATACCAAGAGCCCAATTTCACAAACTTTCAAATCAACTCCTACTAATATGGGTCTAGAAAAAATTATGTTTGTAAAAGATTATTTAGAATGACATCATCATTAAAGAACTTAATAATAAAAACTTGCAACAATTCGGTGGCAGAATATCTTTGCAGCGGATCCTTGACTAGACATTGGGATACAAAGTGTTTAAACATAGGCGTCCAGGATTCGGGGTTTTTGAAGAAAGGAGGTGGTTTCGTTGGTATCATAAATATTGCCTTTTATTTATAATTGGGGGTATAGGGTGAAAATGGATTAAGTTATTTTGAATCCAATTTCTTGTAATGAATTTGATGTAAAAGAAAAATAATAAAACATATATATGTATAATGAGAGTAATGCTAAAATGAGGTTTATTTTGTCGATAAAAAAAAGCAATCAAATAATTACTGACTCTGAAGTTTAAACCTTCATAGAATGAATTATATAAAATTAGATGTTTTTGTTGAACAATTTTAAAATTTGTATATTACTACTTATACTAATAATATTTTTATTAGGAATGTGCCGTATTAAATATGGGATCGGATCGGCACCGATATTTAGCGTTTTCCAAAATTATCGGATCGGGCAGATTCCTGTAGAAAACCCGCTCTAATACGATCTTTTTACTTTTCTTTTTTTTGTTATTTTATGATTTATTTTTTACATTAATAATATTTCTAAATATTTTTTTTTAAAGAATGCAAATGCACAACATCTTTAAATTTTATTTATTATTTTAAATAGATTTATAGTATTTTAAAAAGTTTTTTTTATAAAAATTGAAAGGAACACCCAAAGTTTTATTTATTTTAAATTTTTTAAAATAATAACACCAATTTTATTATTTATACTTTAAATAAAAGAATTATTTAAAATATGGTATCTGAATTATGGAAATATTTTACAAAAGACAAAGATAATTTTGCATAATGCGTTATCTGCGGAAACTTTTTTTAATTATTGTAGAAATAAAAAAATTAAATTAAATGCATAATTAGATTTTTTGCATAAAAAATATTGATTTCTTAACTACATTTGGTTCAAAGGGGAAGGGGGGGGGCGAAAAATCAATATAAATATCGGATCAGTTTTGAACCAATATCGGATCGGATAGGTGAAAAATATGTGTATCGGCACAGCCCTGATTTTTTATACAATTGAAATTGCTTGAAGGGAACATAGTAAGGTGTGAAGTAAAAGATATTTAAATATATAGTATATTTAAAAAAATAAGATATGTATCTCATAAATAATTTTTTTATAAATGGTCAAATACTCGCATAGGATGAATGTCAGAATAGGGAGGTTTTCCCTCTCCCATTTCAAGGGCCGTAATACCCAGACTCCATATATCGGCCCCACAATCGTATCCTATCTCTTGTATGACCTCGGGAGCCATCCAAAATGGAGTTCCTATGACTGTATTGCGTTTGGCCATCGTGTCCTTGATTATTATATACATAGACAATATTATATTTTTGATAGTCATCAATGATTATGTAAATAACTTAAAATACTTTCTCTTTCGTAAACATTTTTTTGCGTAGTTTTTATTTATTTCTTAGGGCATATTTGCATGGGGAGTATAATTGGATATTCAGCGAAAATAGACTAATTTGGTTCAAGCAACTAATTGTAAGATGGAGCCAAAGGGTTCAAGAAGAATTTTAAATTATATTTAGCCAAATATTTGTTAGTAGTAACTTAATCACAGTGGTTTTCTGAAATAGGTCCCTACCCGCCCCGGATCGATAATACCCCAGGTTAGATGGGTTGTTCATAAACTGATCAGCCATCACAAAATGTACATCCTAACAATTTTTAATTTCTGAAGCCCAATTTGAGTTCATTGACATGGATCAATGTGTTTAGGTTATGGATATAGAAAAGTTTTTAAAAATGATAAGTTATTACCTATTCTTAGTCCTATATTGCTTTTAAATATTAATTTTAGAATTTTTATACCGTTAATTGACCGGCCACTCCAAAATCTGCTAGCTTGGCTCTTCCTTCATTGTTGAGCAATATATTTCCAGCTTTTATGTCCCTGTGAATCTTACGCCTAAGGTGCAGATATTCCAAACCTTTGAGGGTATCGGCAAATATAGTAGCTATTTCTGCCTCGGCACACTTTTTTAAATATAGAAGTTGTAAAGAAAATTATATTGTTTCATATATTATAATTTAGTTATATATATATATTAATAATTTCTAAATAAATTTAATTTATGGCTTTTTTAAAAAATTTCATTTTATAATATTTGGGATCTTTAGATTATTATCAATTATCATGGACTTATATAATTGATTTATCTTAAATTTTGAATTTCTTCGCTATGTTTATTACTTTTAGGGGGGGGGGGTGATAGTACAAATCACCCGCAGACTACGAACCCCTTATTAATTATGTTTGAATTTAATAAATAAATAATCATGTTTAGTTCTTCGAGATGCTTAAGAAAATAAAAAAGAAGTATTTTTCCGAGATCTCACTAATTTGACAAATTTATTCTAATTAATATTAAATCTTCTGAATCATCTAGAAGATCTAATCATAGACTTTAGGTTTTTTTTAAACAGGACATAATTCGCGATCATTCGTAGTTTCTCCAAAAAAATAGGTGTTTTTTCGATATTTTTAATAAACTTGTCATTTTAAATTAAAATTTCCTGAAACATCTTAGAAATCTAAAGATAATAATTTATTGATTCGTAGTTTAGGGTAACGGTCCGATAAACACAGACAGAATTTGTTCATCAAATAAAAACACCAGTCCATTTTTTTAGGATTAACAGGAATGCCAGGAGGGCAGTTTTTAATATTTTTTGTTATTTTAAAAATATTTTCGTTTATATTGTTGTATTATATATATTTATTTAAAAATTATCTTAGTTTTTTTGGGGTTAATTTTTTCACTGTATTTATGTTAATGTTTAAAACAATAAGAGAAATAGATATACGGGTATTTTTTGAAGAATGTTTTTATTTCGTTTATGTAATAATAAAATCAAAGAATCTTCAGTGATCTACAAAAGTTTAAAATCGTTGAATTGACAAGGGATACCATAAAAGTCCCCCCCCCCTTATAAAAGCAAACTGGGGCAAAGATATACAATTTACGCATCGATATATATGTATATATATGCTATTCAAATAAATGTCTACTAAGACTCAAATAAATATAACAATATGCAATTTTTTTGTAAAATTCATTCGGTTCTTTTCCAGGCTGCTCCCTATATCTTCCTATAGCGTAGTTAGACGGCTCGATTTGAGTCGATTTTTAAAAACAGCTAACTCAATATTTTGTCTAGAATTATATTTCACAAGCCTGAAGAGTTCGCTCATAGATGACACAAAGGCATAGACACCTCTAAGCAAAATTTCGAGACTTAAGCAATATAGTTAGTCGTTTCTAAAAATAGCTCAAAACGAGCCGTTTAACAGCACTATCTTACTCATAAGAAAGCTGTCACATTTGAACTTCGAACCTTTTCTTAACTGTTAGCCGAAAACAGCGTATTTGGAAGAAGATTATATAGGTTGTGCCATTAGCCATTTCCCTCGTAAAATCTTGTAAATTATCGTACGCGCACTTTGAAGTTGATAAGCTGTAATATATTTGCTAAATAAACATGTGCTCAATCAGCAAATAAAATTGTTGGTTGCATTTAGACTTGATAGTCGAATATGTTGTTATAATTGCTAACTTGACAGTTGGTAATAATATCATTTGATAGTCAAATATGTTGTTATAATTAACTTGACAATTGGTAATAATATTGTTTGACAATCAATGTAATATCCTGCTGATGAGTGGAACAATACATTATTCTAGTTATCAGTCCCATATATTAGATAACACATTTTCACTTTCTCTCTCTTTTCATTCTCTTTCAATACTATATTTCCAAAATATAAACAATTAACTTTTGTAAAGAGAGCAACAATAAAAATATTGAAAGGGTGCTTAAAATGACAATTGACTGTTACACAACCTGTGACAAATTATATAGATGAACCAAAAAGGAATGAACACTTCACCTTTTATTTATTAAAATTTCCACAATAAATAAGAATATAATACAAAACTTTAAAAAAAAATTATATAACAAATAATAATGATTTTCAAAATATATTTTCTCTTTTCTTTAAACTTTAATTATTTGAAAATAATTATTCAAACATAAATAATCAACAAAAAATAAAATACAACTAATTTGACATTTACCTAATTAATTCTTGCATTATCATTTTATTAATTATAAAAGAATTTTATTATAATAATATCAAATATACAAATAATATAATAAATAGTACAAAAATTTAATTTAATAAAAGTAAAAGAGTTTTTTGACAAACTTATAAAGTTATTTTAATAATACCAAATGTAAAAATAATATAAAAAATAATACAAATGGTTAATTTAAAAGAAAAAGGTTTTTTTTGACAAACTTTTTTTTGTTGTAGCATATTGCAAAATAAAAATTTTCAAAAAAATTATATAAATTGAATAGTAAGGAAAATTTAAATATTAATAAAAGATCGATCTGGACCATGAACTGAAAATTTGATTTATATAAACTGTGGGCCTCAAAAAAATTGGTCTGTACAGTCTGGTCTTTGTCTAAGACCATTAACTTTCATTAGTATATGGGGATATGTATTTTAGTCTAGCATCAGATTATCTTTATTATTTTATTCTGCTAAATTGATATTCATTAGAATTATTTCATATTGGAAAATATTATTCTTTATATTTCAATGTTTGTATTTAAAATTAGTCACATTAAAATATCAGATATTATACTGTTTTTTTCCTAAGCTTAATGATATCTGAAACAGATCCAGCACCACAATATTCCATAACAATCTAATAAGTAAAAAACGTTTAAAATTAAAATGTGCAATAAACATATACAAGATCACCTAAAAGAATAAAAAAAAATGGTAACAATTATTTTAAGTTTAATATGAATCTTATTTATTAATTTATAATGTAAGAAGTAATATTAATGTATATATTATAATGTTTTCAACATATAATATTCTTAATACCCATAAATCTGTGTTTTTAAAGTAACTCCCATAATATTTAACCACATATGGACTATTACACTGTTGCATAATTGATATTTCTTTTATAATTTCTTGCAGATCGGTATCCACAGGAACCTTTTTAATGGCTAAAATTTGAGATGAATCTTTATGCAAAGCTTTATATACACATCCATATGAACTGCACAAATTTTAAAAATTATTTATAAATGAATTATAATTACCCTCTTCCTAACTTACACAAAATATCAAAGACCTCATCAGGTTGCTTGGCTAAATTATCTTCACTTAACTTTTTCAATTCTCTTGAAAAAAAAAAAATACTTTATAACAAAACTGAATTAAATACTTTTTTTGTGACATATGTCCAAACCCATATTTCGGCTAATATGAATGTTTGATATGTAAAGTACATATCGTATCTACCTAGTGTTATTAAACGGCGGAGCAAAGCTGGCTTAGCCGAAAACTCGGCCAGTTTTTGAGCCAAAAATTCAGCTCAGGCTCAAGTCGGTTCATTGAGCCTGCTGGCTTAGCCGTTGGCTCAAGCCGATTATTGAGGCGAAATTTATTGTGATTAGTGTTAGTGTAATTAAACGGCTGAGCCAAGCCAGTTCCATAAATTCAACCAGTTTTTGAGCCAAAATTTGGCTCAGATCAAGCCGACTGGCTCAAGCCGATTTTTGAACCGAAATTTATTTATTTGAAATTAGTATTGAAGTTACATTTGGAAAAAAATGTCTATGATTTTTTGCAATATATAGATTTGGTTGATAAATTGTATTATAATAGGTTTATAATAAATAAATTTACAGTAAATTTTGTCCTATTTGATTTCAAAATTTAATAGATAACCACCCAAAAATTTTATCCTACCCCATTATAGCTGTCTACCCCATACCCCGCTCAAAAAAATAGGCTCCTACCCCCCTCCCCCCGTTCATGTTGCACTGATTACAACTCTCTTTAGTAATCGCTTTGCATATTTTTATCAAATTTTAGGCAGGATAAAAGGGACACAGATTATGAGCATAAAAATACCCATTTGTTTTTTTTGTTTCGCCAAATGGTACCAACACATATCTCATAAAAAAATAATAAAGTTAAAAAACAAGGATTGTAATTTTTCTGAATTATTTCAATAAAATTAAAATCTTTAAAATAACGATTATGAGAATTATCACTTTCCTATGGTACATCTTCATGAAATTGTAATTTAACATGTTTACAATCTATATTTTTACCCATTTGCGTAACTTTTAAAATAACGATTATGACTATGACAATTGTCACTTATCTATAGTACATCTTCACCGAAATTTTAATTTAATATGTTTACAACCTTATTGTAAACCCATTTGCGTCAAAAAAAATAAACTTTAATATAACGATTATGACAATTGTCACTTGGTACATCTTCACTTAAGTTTAATTATAAACATGTCAGCAATACTTATTTTAGTCCAATTTCGTCAAAAAAAACTTAAAATAACGATTATAGCAATTGTCACTTTCTATAACACAACTTCATACATTGTAATTTAACATTTTTACAATCTATATTTTTACCCATTTGGGTCAAAAAAATTTTAAAAATAACGATTATGACAATTGTCACTTATCTTTAGTAAATCTTCCCCGAAATTTTAATTTAACATGTTTACAACCAGTATTTATACCCATTTACGTCAAAAAAATTTTATAAACTTTAAAAATAACAATTATGACAATTGTCACTTATCTAGGGTGCATCTTCACTTATTATTTACATGTTAGGAATACTTATTTTAGCCCACTTGCGTCAAAAATAACTATTATGACAATTGTCGCCTATCTATGGTGCATCTTCACTAAATTCTTAATTTAACAAAATACTTATTTTTGCACATTTGCAACAAATTCAAAAAAATTTAAAAATAACGATTATGATAATTGTGATCTATCTATGGTACATCTTTACTAAATTCTTAATTTAACATGTTAGCAATACTTATTTTTGCACATTTGCATCAAAAAAATTCAAAAAACTTTAAAAATAACGATTATGACAATTGTCACTTCTATATGTTACATCTTAATTGAAATTTTATTTAACATGTTAAAAATAGATATTTTTGCCCATTATGGTCAAAAAGAATTTAATATGTTTAAAAATACGGATAATGATACTGTCATTTTTCCAAAGAACCTTTTCATTGAATATATAATTTAACATTTTTACAATATAAATATCATTTTTACCCTTTTGTGTCAAAAAATTTCAAACATGTTTAAAAATAGCGAATATGAGAATTCTCACATTAAAATATTTTCTTTAAAAAGATCATAGAAAATAACATTAAAAAAGTTTAATTTAAAAATTTTAAACAAAAATATTTAGAAAACCCACCTCTCTTGATATACTTAAAAAATTTTTACGAATTATTGTAACTGTTGTAGTATTATGTGTATTTAAATTTTTATTACAATGATGTCAAAGATATATTGAATTTTTATATGAAAAAGAAATGATGTAAAAGTTATATTGTATTTTTATATGAAAAAGACATGAGGTCAAAGATATATTGTATTTTTATATATGAAAAAGAGATAATGTGAAAGTTGTAATTTATTTTTATTTAAAAAAGAAAGAAATGTTTGAGGATTTTTTTTATAAGAGGAATTTTTTTATATAAAATAATCTTTTTTATGAAATATAGATTATATAAATAAAATTGTCAGTAGTATATAATGGAGTTAACCGAATCTATAATCATTAACTAGTCTAATAAGTATTAAGAAGACGACAAAAATAACTATAAAAGATTTCACCTAAAAGATTTTTCATTTATAATAAAATTCTCAAAAGAATTCCTCAAAAATGATTTATTTACCAATAAAATTTAAAATTCTTATCAAATCAAAATATTTTCAAACATCTTTTTGACTTCAAAAATTATGTGCATATAAAAATCACAAATAAATTGTAACAAAAATAATATTATAAGAGCAGCTTACATTTTTTTTTCATTAAAAAATATCAAATAAATAAATCTATTTTCATAATATAATATAATTATTATGTTTAAAAAAAATTTAAAAACAAAAAAATAAAAATATTAAAAAATTTATGAGGGAACTTGGCATGGTACACCGATTCTAGATGTTTATTATATTTTTTAAAATATTTAAATAGATAAATTTTGGCTCAAAATTAGACTCGAGCCAACTCCTGAGCCGACTTGAGCCTAAACCAATTTTTAAGCTCTTATAAATATTATAATAACATTATTTGGAAATAATTAGGTGAAGATTTCTACAAATTTTTTATAGCAATAACTATGTAAAATACTAATAACTAATTATACCTCTTAAGATAAAATAAATATCATAAAATATAAATCATATTATTATAATGTTTTTTAAAGAAGCGGATCATACTTAAATTGTTAAATAATATTAACTTTAAAAAATTATTTTTTTTTATCCTTAAGTCATTTATGGCGTAACTTAAATATTTCAAATGTAATAAAAATTGTTTCTTTCTTTTTGTTAAAAACAACTTTTTTTATTTTAAATCAATTTGTTTATAAACTAATATTAAATTTTATATTTTATAAATCAATTTACTTAACAAACTAATGTTCAATTTTTTATTTTAACTTTTTAAAAAAAAGATCAATTTATGATAAATTACATTGTCAATATATATAGCAAACTATTTTTGAATATGTGATCATTATATTTTTTTAATTTAAATATCAATAAATTCACGTAATATACGTTTACACCATTATGTTCTGCTTTTGATTTCTGCAACCTTTTCAAAGTCTTTAGTTTAAAAGAGAATGTAAAATATAAATAGTTTAAATAAACGATTTTTTTATATAAACTAATCTTCAAAAATACTCTATGGATACTTATATTCAAAGATACTTCATGGTGGCAGTTCCGCTACATATTCGAGGAAGTCGTAAATAAATAAATAAATATGAAACAGATTCCCAATAATAATGTTAATATAAATATTGAATTTCCAATATACGCAGGCAATGGCGATCTTTTTTTGAGTAGATTTGAAGACATCTTCAAGGACAATCAGATATCGGACATCGAAAAAGCAGGTTCCTTTACAAGAAGATTACCAGATGAGGTATACATCAAGCTTAAATCGATATGTTCACCTACCGACTTCATCAATCCATCGATATTGATTGAAAAATTCAGGTTATTACACCCGAGGAAATCTACAAGTTCCAACTTATTATTATTTAATGCAGCTTTACAAGGTAAAAACGAAAGTTACATCGATTGGGTAAGTAGATTATGCATTTTAAAAAATGAATGTTTGCTAAGTGATAGTAGAGTTATTGAAAAAGTAAAAATTTTGTCAATCAGCAAAAATATTAGGCAGAAAATTACATTAAAAGAAAACATTACATTAGAAGAAGTTCTTACTTTAAGAGATGATTTTGAAGAGTTAGAATTGAAAGAAAATATAATTGCTAAAGTTGAAAATATTTCTTTAAACGAAAAAACAGAAAATGATACAACCGTGAAACATGTAGAAAGGCTAAGAGGCAGGAAAACAGAAGAAAATAAACAATTGGTGAGATATGGAGACCATGATGAACGACAAAATTTACAATCTAATTACGATAACAGACAACGATGGACAGCAAGAGGCCATGACTTTCAAAGAAATATTTATCAAGGAAATAATTATAACCCCAGTTACCAAGGAAATAATTACAACCCTAGATATCAGAATTATAACGCGAATTATTACAACGTCAGAGCAAACTATCCAGGATCGTACAATAATTCTTCGAGATTTGATAATAGAGCTAATTATATTAAAAATGACTATAATAATAATAGATTTAATAATGATTATAATTACAGATATAACAGACATTATAACGATTCAAGATGTATTCAAAGATATAATGATAATCATAATATTGGGAATCGAGGAACTAATCAAGTATGCAATTATAAATATCATAACAACGACAATAATCAATCACGATATACAAATAAAGTAAACACTGTAAATATAGAAGAGATAAAAGAAGATGATAATGACAAACTAGAAAGAAAATAATATAATTTATACAATTTAGACAATTTAGACATAAACAATATGGATACCGATAATAATTACACAGCTAACGATGCTTACAAGGTCACGGTATATTTGAATGACATGCCTATTTTGATGCAGATCGACACCGGGTCAAAGTATAGTATTCTACCGATTCATATCGCGAAAAAGATTGGAGTAAAAATCTTAAATAAATAAGATATTAAATTAACTGGTTATGATGGAAACACAATAAATGTTTTAGGAACTACCAAAGTCAAGGCAAAATTCGAAGACAAAAGTCAAATCTTAACTGCTTATGTAGTCCAGAGTGATAAGATTGCACTGTTAGGAAGGACCTGGATAGCAGTCTTTAGAAATATACTAGATAGATTTGTAAACTTAGTCGAAGAAGATTATGACAATACTATTCAAGAACTGATCAAACAATGCGAGTCAAAACTTAGCAAGAAACCAATATTACGCAATTATGTCAAACTACATCTAAAACTGCTACACCTAAAATCATACCTCCCAGGCGTGTACCTTATTCTAGAATGGAATTGGTTACAAAAGAACTACAGAAGTGGATAAGCGACAAAATAATCGAACCTGTTGAAGAGGTAAGATGGGCCAGTCCTCTCACTCCTGTTGTCAAGAGCGATGGTTCAATTCGGCTATGTGTTGACTTCAAGAATACTATTAATCCTGCGTTAGAGGATTTCAAGTACCCAATTCCACGCATTAATGACCTTATGGCAAAGTTATCGAAAGGCAAGAAATTTACAAAGATCGACTTTAAAAATGCATTTCTTCAAGTTCCAATACACAAAGAATCAAGAGACTTTCTCACTATTTCAACTCATAAAGGCTATTTCAGGTTTACAAGACTTCCGTTTGGATTAAAAACTTCGTCAGCAATATTCCAACAAACCATGGATAATATTTTCGGGAACATGAAAGACGTCGTGTTTTATATTGATGACTTATTGATTACTGGGGAGGATGATGAAGCTCACGTGAACAACATAAAAATGGTATTTGACAAAATATCAAAGTGTGGGCTTACACCAAACTTCACAAAGAGTATATTTTTTAAAAAAAAACTACGGTTTCTAGGTCACGATATAGACGACAATGGAATCCATCCGAACGCAGATAAAATAAAGGCTATTTCTAATATGCCGGAACCTAAGACAAAAGAAGAGTTGGCAACTTTTTTGGGGATGGCGAGTTATTATCGAAAATTTCTGTGCAATTTTGCTGACATCGCCGATCCCTTATACAAAATAGTAAATAAAGACAAGTGGTCATGGGATAATACACATCAAGAAAGCTTTGATTACCTAAAAAAACTCATAAGCACTCCGCCTACGTTAAATTTTTATAACCCGGATCTACCAGTGGGCATTGCAACTGATGCTTCAAAGAAAGGTTTAGGCGCAGTCTTATTTCATATTGAGGGTGATGGCAAAGAAAAACCCATCGCTTTCGCGTCAAGAGCACTATTGAAATCAGAGTTAAATTATACCAATATCGAAAGAGAAGCTTTGTCGGTAATTTACGCGGTTAAAAAATTCCAGGAGTATTTAATAGGCACAAGATTTGTAATAATTACCGACCACAAGCCACTCGTGTATATATTTACGAAGGGACTCAAGGACAATTCTTCCATATCAATGCGACTCCAAAAATGGAACTTGGCTATGGGAGCGCATGACTTTACGATAGTTCACAGACCCGGGAAACGAAATATTGTACCAGACTGTTTGTCCAGATTACCACTAATGAATACAGAAGAGATGGTACAAAAGTTAGATGACGAAATAATTGATGACAATTTTTGGGACACACCAATAAATTTTAAAAGAATAGTTAAAGAAACTAATATTGATCAAGAACTAATGGAAGTAATTAATGATATAAGGAATCATGAGCAGATAAAGAACAAAACGTATAAAAATATGGTATTGGAATTGAGTTTAATCAAAGGTTGCCTTTTTAAAGAGAATAGGATCATAATACCGAAAGGTATGAGAAAAGAGATTTTGCAAGAGTTGCATAATGGGCATCTCGGTGCTGGAAAAACAAAATCATTAGCGAGAGAGTATCTGTGGTGGCCTGGTTTAAATGCAGACATAGATCAGGAGGTAAAGAATTGCGAAGCTTGCAATAAATACGCAGACAATCCTCATAATATTCAAAACCCATGGGAAACAGCAACGAAAGTATTCGAACGCGTACACATAGACTTTGCAGAGTTCAAAGATAATAATTTTATGGTATGTGTTGACGCCTTCAGCAAATTTCCTATTATTAGGAGAATGAGAAACACAACTACGGAATCAACGATTAAAGAATTGATGAAAATAATAAGTTTATTTGGTATACCTAATAGAATAGTCAGTGATAATGGAACTAACTTTACCAGTAAATTATTTAAGAAATTTTGTGAAGATCACGAAATCGAACACTTGCTCACCGCACCTCACCACCAACAGTCCAATGGCCAATGTGAGCGTATGATTAGATCAATGAAAATGAATATGAAAAGGAATATGGAAAATAATAATAAAATAGACGTAGACATAGCTCTAGAAAAGTTTCTTTTTAATTATCGTAATACACCCAACGCAACGACCAACAAAATACCAAGCGAAGTAATGTTCTCCAGAATGATTAGGACAAAATGGGAGTTGATAAAACCGAGAGATGAAAGAGATCATATACTAAATCGCAAGATATCAATAGATAGGGATATAGAAATAGGAGACAGCATATGGTATAAAACTTTTAAAGATAATAATTGGGAAAAAGGTACAATAATGCGCAAAAACGGAAATTTGTTGTATGATATAGATACTGGGAACAAAATTATAAAAAGACACTTGGACCAAATAAAAAGAAGATCAACTAATGTAGAACTTTCTTCTAATGGTGCAACAGTTTTTAAAGCGAATGTTAATAATAATGCATCACCTTATACATTGAATTTTAGAAGGGGAGGTGATGAACCAAGAAACCAAAACGTACAAGTAAATGATCAGAATCGCAACGTTCAAAGACCAGTTAGAAATAGTGTGTTGCCTAGAAAATTTTATAATGAATTAAATTTGATAATAAAATTTTTTTTTTCTTTTCCTTATATTAAAACAAAATTAGTTTTTTTGTGTGTGGAACTAAATAGATAAAACGTACAAAAGATCAACGAAGGGGTTAACGAGCAAGAATGACATACAACTAAATTATAGACAGAGGGCAAATAAAAAAAAAAAGTGTGAAATGTTAAATAATATTAACTTTAAAAAATTATTTTTTTTTTATCCTTAAGTCATTTATGGCGTAACTTAAATATTTCAAATGTAATAAAAATTGTTTCTTTCTTTTTGTTAAAAACAACTTTTTTTATTTTAAATCAATTTGTTTATAAACTAATATTAAATTTTATATTTTATAAATCAATTTACTTAACAAACTAATGTTCAATTTTTTATTTTAACTTTTTAAAAAAAAGATCAATTTATGATAAATTACATTGTCAATATATATAGCAAACTATTTTTGAATATGTGATCATTATATTTTTTTAATTTAAATATCAATAAATTCACGTAATATACGTTTACACCATTATGTTCTGCTTTTGATTTCTGCAACCTTTTCAAAGTCTTTAGTTTAAAAGAGAATGTAAAATATAAATAGTTTAAATAAACGATTTTTTTATATAAACTAATCTTCAAAAATACTCTATGGATACTTATATTCAAAGATACTTCATAAATTTATACGTAGAAACTATTTTTCTAAATAGATTAAAAATAATTTCGCCTACATGATGTGTTATTCAGTCAATCAGGTCCACTCTACCTCTTATGTATGATAAAATTGTGAATTTAATTTGATTCAATTGTTTTAAATTTGATATTTACAAAATTGTCTTAGTATAAGCCAAACTCTTGGTTATAAATTTATCAATAGGATTAAATTAGTTTAAGAATATTTAATGAAAAGAATAGAGCTTGATTAATTTTACAGAATGGAATTTACTAAACATAAGAGAATTGAACTAGCAAGCGCTTGGATAAGAGAACTTGAAGGCAGAGTTGTACATTTGCTCAAAATAAAAAGAAGATCTTTTATTTTTTAAAAATTTTGTAGCGATCTTCAAAGATCTTCATGATATTTATTTTTTTACCCCTTTATTAAAAGCCCAGATGTTTTTCAATTTTATTAATATAATATTTCTTTTATGTTTTATACCTCTCCTCCTGCCTTCCATCAAGACTTGAACCGACCGGCATTTTTAGATCCGACGGAAAACGTCCTGATGGAATGTCCTTGATTCCTTGGTCAAGGGGCCAGCTACTAGTCTGGGACTTCACCTGCATTGACCCAAATGCACCATCCAACCACAACGTCGATGCCCTCGCTCTAGCAGAAACTCGTAAAACTATCAAATATAGTTCCATAGACCCCTCTTTCTTATTCATACCTGTCGCCTGCTCTACTCTTACCACCTTCGGTAGCGAAGCTCTAAGTTTTTTTAAAGAATTAGGCAAACGGATTCGGGAAAAAACCGATCAGCCTAAAGAGTCCCTTTTTTTACGACAAAGACTTGCTACCGCCATCATTCGCTCTAACTACCTAAGTTTAATCTCTTCCATTGAATAATCTCCTATGTCTATGCTCTCTCTCTCCCTTCTCTTTCCTAGTTTCCATTCTTTTATCCCTTACCCTTTCGCAAATTATATTTTTATATTTTTTTACCTTTATTAATTTTACAATATAAAAAAATTTATTATTTGCTATAAACTTTTGATAACATATTATATCAGCAACTATTGAAATAAAGAGAGAATTTACCCGTCAAAAAAAAAAATATATATAAATTTTTTTTTTTTGTATTTCCTTCAATTTCCGTGATGATGGTGGATTATCTTCAAAGTAGTATAAAGAACTAGTATCATCGATAAATGATTGTACTGGTATTTATTTTATTTAATCATCAATGTTTATTTCTAAGCTCTCACAATGAATTAAAGTATAATTAAGAGCCAATATAGCCCTTACATAATCAAATTTTTTTATTTAATCGGGAATAGACCTTTATCCTCTCCTCTTTTTGGCCATAAGCGTTTAAGCAAGTGGTTTTGTACCGTGCGCGTAACAGGTAACTGCGGCCTGCCCAAAAAATGGGATGGTCCTCTTAATTATTTTTAAATTTAGGAATGATTTAACGTGTTAAATACGATGAACGTTACCATAAAATGGGTATCGGGAATCTGAAAGGCGTGCATTTCAAGCTTCTATTGGAAATATTCAAATTATTATATTTAAATTTACAGGATTAACCAAATTCACATCCTTGTGGACTTGAAAATATAAACAAAATTGTCTAGTCTAATTATTATAGTTCTTGATTTCTTTATAATTTATTTACTAAATTTAATAAACGAATTATCATTTTTCTCTATCTACGTTGGCCTTTTCAATGACATGAGCATAAGTTAAAATTTATTGCTATGATAATTCATGGTAGTCCCAATTCGTGATTTGTAATTGAATTTACTCTTTGCAACTAATTACATTTTCTCCTAATTTTTTAAAAGCTCGTTTACACTCTAATATAGAAAATATTTCCTACCATTTTTTTCTGAATCGCAAATTTCTATTAAAGTACAATTTTTAATATTTATCTTACTTTACATATAATTGGGATTCCAATATAATTAAAAATCATTTTTTTTACTATCTAGACTTTTCTTGCTTCCAACACACCAAATTTTCTAAAAAATTATTAAAATCAGTATTGATGTCATTGAATGAATTTAAAATATTTTTTTGAATAATCCCTACATAGAAGTTTCTTGCTATCCTCGCTATTCGGTTGTTGTATGGTAGCATACCCGTTATAATCATGATTTACTTATTATTAATTAATAAATTTTAAAATAAATTATTTATAGATTTTCGTATATTTATTTTTAGTTGCCAATAATAAAGCTTAGAAACTTTAGATTTGTATTATTAATAATATTACAATTTTCCATGTTTTATAATAACATTCTATTATTATATTAGTATAATTAATATATTATAATATCATATGTAAAATTTTTTTTAAATAATTAACACAAATAATAAATTTCGATTTCATCTTCTCTCCATTTCAAAAAAATATGGAATAGAAAAATATTCATTCACTCCCATTAACAATGGACGATTTTGTGAAAAATCGCATTTTGAGAAAACACGCCTTAGCAGTAGTTGAAATATTGTTATCAAGATGTGTAAATTATGTGGAATTAACTGAATATGTAATTAAACTATTTTTTAATCCTTAAAATTTTTTTTAGGCTGAATATATAGAAAAACAAGATTTTATAGATCTAATTGTTGAAAGATCACTAAATAATTTATGTGGAAATCCAATGTGTGGCAATCCAAAAGTAAAAAATTAATATTATGCTATGTGTTTTACATATTATGATATACAAATATAAACTTTAAAATAATTAATAGAATTTTTCAAAATTTATTGCTACATTTCTCTATTTTAGGTATATAAATTTAAATCAAAATACAGCATTGATATGCCTAAACAAAAAATATATGATAATTCAGAAATTAGCAAATTTTGTAGACTAGATTGCCTTCAAAAAGCTTATTCATTTTGTGAAATATCCATACCCGACACACCTCTCTGGACTCGATCAAAATGTTTAGAATATCTGGAAGATTTAAATAGTGCTAAGCAAATTTAATAGACATTTGTGTATCAAATTTTGAATTGAGAGTATTTTTATTCTATGTATTTCCACTTAGATATATCATGACAATCTGTTATTCCATCACAAAATACATTATAAGTTGTGTTTGACTCAAATCCCATGATCTCTCTCTCCTCTTGAATTCGAAATGTAAAAGTAGAGTCTTTTGTTCCTATGAAATACCTGAAATATAAACTAATTAGATTTACTTATATAAAATAAATTTCAAACCTAGATAAACTGCATATAATCTGATCCACAATTGCCAATTCTCCAGGTGTCATATTATTTCTGAATATTAAAATTCTTTTATTGTGATTATTCATAATTTTAGTTATATCTTCAATTTCTAAATAAATGTTAATAAATTTTATATGTTACTTATAAAATGAAATGTTTTACATTATTATATATGCAAACTAATGATGTTATCATAGCCTTCCAGAAACAAAATATTTTATATGTAAATTTGGAATCAAATAATTTTCATTAATACCAAAATAATTTTATATTCATGCAGATATTTTATTTAGTATAAAACACAAAAAAAATCAGAAATTTTAATTCATAATCATATGTAAGATATGCTAAATAAATTTTAAAAAAATATTTATTTGGGCCTAAAGTTATCAAATTCTTATAAAGGTATTATTTGTAATCATATTTATGCCTATAAAAAAAGCCATGCATGAGATGTAGTAGAGTACTATTATTTCTAGGGATGTACCGATATTTTATATCGGATTGGATCGGGCCGATATTTCGCCCATTTTAAAATATCGGTTATCGGCAAATATTATAAAATTTTCCGATCCGATATAAAATGGCGCTTTTAACAAAATTTAAAAAAAGTTATATCTAAAAATCCATTTATTTTTATAAATAAAATCGGAATATATTTTTATGCTTAATTATTTTAATAGTAATAATTAGTTAATAAACATTCTGCAATATAGTTATTTTTTTTCGCATTCTGTTTAAAAAAGTGTTCATTAATCTCTTTAGAATCTGTTTTTAGTGATACTAGTGATATTAACAGTCCCCATCACCGCAGACCGATCTCTGATAAATTGGAAATTTTGGTATTTCTAAAAAGAAATCTTCGATAAATTAATTTTATATATTAATTTCAAATTTCAATATATTTGTTTATTACTAATTATGTAAATAGATTAATGTTATTACTTATTATATAAATAATTGCAATTGAATTGAATAGAAACTATAACTGATCATTATAATATATTTAAATGACATATGTTATGGTATAGTAAAATTATAGATGTTGTACTAACAAAAAGAATATTAAAAATTAAAACCGGTATCTTTACAGAATACAAAATTAGATATGATATCGGATCGGTTATCGGCCGATATCAATTAAATATCTGAAATATCGGATCGGATCGGCCTCCCCCTAATTATTTCATTTACTTTGATTTCCTAATTATTTTACAATTTATGTTTGCTTAAATTGAGGGTCTAACAAAAATCTTTTATTTGCCCAAAATATCCTTAAAATTTTTTTGAAGATCAAAAAATTTGGGATTTCAAACATAAAAGATTTTTTATGCATAAAAATCACAAACTATATACTAGTATTTTTACAAAAGAAAATTGGAATAGATAAAATTTGATAAATATCCTGTTATTCTCAAATCTTCTTTTGGCTTTAATTTCAAAACCTTTAAGCTTTATAGAATTGTGTTCTAAATTTTCCATTAAAAGTTTTGTAAATTTTGTATCTGATAGATTCACAACCATCTAAGCTTCCATTTCTTGTAAAGGATTCACACCATGAATTTGTGTACCTATATTTTTCTCCAATCTTGTTCTCTATGATGATAGAATATATTTCAATCTTTAATGTTCTTTCAACCTAAACCTGTATAGTTGGCACAGACATGGCTAATACAGACTTCAGGTTGCTTAATTTTTTTCCTTCCCAAAATGCAAAAATATAGATGTTTTCATTTCTTTCAATGATGTTATAAGATTTTTTGTTTTGTGTGGCATATTTTGATCTATGCTATTTTTTTAATTTGTAGTAGATTGAAAATCATCTTAGTATTCTTAATATAATAGAAGAAAGTGTAGTTTATATTATATCATCACAAAACACAATTACATATCAAGTTTGCATGAATTATTTTTGTCTAGATCAAGATATAGTACACATGGATGATTATGGAAGAAAAATTTGGCAAATGCAAAATTAAGATTCTCTATCGATTCATTTTAAGAGAGATGTAATAGTTAAAAAAATGAACTACATTATTTGATAAAATGAAATATATTCTTGCCATCAGAAAAGATGGGATGAGTGTATTGAGTGAAGGTGTTGATATAATATTCTCAATATTTTAAAGTTTATACCGTTAATAAAGTATAGACTTCCAACATATTTAGAACTCAAAAATCCTCAATATAGTGCTCTATATAATATTTAACACTTTATTTTAAACAATAATTATGAAAGGCTTTATTGTATTTAAGGGCCCATCTTCATTTAAACTTTATTTTTGAACCGTTCTTAATGTTCCTTTATATAGACTAGATGGTGCAAAAATGACAAATAGAAAACGAATACCCCATTATATGAATTCCATGTTACAGAAATCTATTTTCCTGTTATATATTTCGAATTATAAATCAAGTTCTGATTTGCATGCCTTATCTGGTTAAACAAAATTTATAGATAAATGGTCAGGCGACCTTGTAAATTTTAAAAAATTTCAAACAACGAGTGAGCGGTCTTAACTAAAAACCCGCCCATTGCAGACCTCTAGTTTTTATAATGAACAAATTTCCTTTTAGTGTTTTCAAGATGATAAGATGGTCTTTTTAGAAAAGAAGAATTTGATTCTTATTACTCTTCAATCTTATAAGGCAAAATTTTCCTCCTAAAAATTAGGATATAAGTATTCTTTTCTATAAATCACAACCTTTTTTTAATTAAAAAATAAGTTTTTTATTAAAAAAATAGATTATTTTATAATATTTTTATTCAATATTATTGATGTACAAAATTATTTAAAGCAAATATATTAATTTAATAATTTTCTAAACCAATTTTATAGATACTCATCTGATTTTTATTGAATAAATGATAAGTTTAGTGTAAAATATCATAATTAGATGCTCGTTTGAGAATTTGTTTAAAAGAATGTTAGGTATGACATTTTTTTAAAGATTTTTTTTTTCTATGATGTTCGAATTGAATAATAAAAAAATTTTTAAAAAAAATTTGTTTACGTATTTTATGCTCTCATAATATGAGTTTCTATTCGAAAACAACAGCAAACGTTTATTTTAAATAAAATTATACTCTAATATACATAACATACTATAGAATAAAATTATTTAATAAGTAACATTTTAACTTCGGGACTTGCTTTATCCCCAAAATGGGTGGTTTAATTATGCGCTATTTAAATTATAATAAGATGCCCTTAAATTATGACCATTTATTATTGCCTTCTAACCTCATAAATAAGTAGATAGGAATTTTTAAATATTCCTGTAAATAAATACCGATATTATATTTTACTCGTTATTAGTTGAATGCGAATATTCTATTTTTCGATCTGAAAGATATTATAAAGGACGTTGTGAGTTTTAATTCAATTTAAAATAAAAAAATTTACAATATTTTAGAACGAATTTTACAATGTTTCCAAAAAAAATTATTCAAATAATTCGCATTTCAAATATTTTATATTATGAAAATATAATAAACAAACATAAATGTCGCCTTCTTTATACTATTTTGCCTTTCGCAATACAAGTAGAAAGTTGATATATTTATCAGCAAATTTCAAAAGGTAGGGATAATGTTTTTTATTATATATTTTATTTTTTTAAAAAAATGGTATAACCTTTTTCAACCGTATCGGTCGCTAAGAATAGTGTTCGAATATTTAACTGTGTCATAATGTCAATTATCTGCGAGGTTGCCTTTTCGATGCTAATAACCTTTGAGGGATCTTTCCCAGTTATAAAATCCATTCTGCGCCAATGAACTCCCATATAATCTCTTCCAATCATTTTTATATTCTTTACCTTAATTTAAAATACGAAAACAAAAGGTTAAATTTAATAATTTTCAAAGAAACGATTTCTAACAGCTAAATTCGATTATTATTTGATACCTATAGTATGACTAATAATTCTCCTTACATCATTCTAATGTTTGTTTGCAAAAAAAGGTTCAAACTTAGCTAATATTTTTTTGGAACCGAACCTGAAATCGTCATTTTTGTCTGAACCGAACTGATATTTGTTTTAGGTTCGGATCCCCTGAGTAAAGTATGTAGAGCATCTGATGAGCCGCCCGAAGCCCGGCCCTAAAGACTTTTTCCGGGAAATTAAATATTAGAATCATTTACGTAATTACCATTTCCCATATTAATAATTTCCGGTGAATATGATAGAAAACGATTACTTACATCATATTCTATCAGGTTAAATAAAATGTCATACTAGGTTTTGCAACTTTAGATGAGCATTGATAATAGTTTATTTATAGGAGTAAAAATATACTTTTTATTTAAGTTGGCAATATGTGAATAAATACAAATCATTTTTAACATTTCTTAATATTTAAACAATTAAACTAAATTCCATTTTTTTAAATCGGGCTGGAACAGTGTATTTGGGTTAGGGCCAAACTCGGACATAAAATTTTTTACGAGCCCGGACCGCAAAAAAATCACTTTGGGCTCAAAAGACATGTCATTGAGGAAATTTTTTTTTTAAAAAAAATCGCGTTCTATTTGGAAAGAAGATTTATATATAAATGCTCTAGAAAAATAATTTAATAATTTTGTCGTGGTCCGAGTTCTAATTCGAATAGAAGCTGAAAATCAAGGTCCGGTCAGATAAAAGTTCCTAAAAAATGTCTGTTCGGACTTTAATTAACACTAATTTACTAAAAATGGATAATTAGCTTGTTTAAATAATCTTTTTGTTGCAGAATGAAATCGAAAACATCTTATTCGAAAAACATGGTTGACTTACAAATAAAAATGTAGATATTAACTCAACTCAAAGAATGTTCAATTAAAGGAAATTTTTTGATTGGATAAAATATATTTATAATTAAACAAGTATCTGAATTAAAGAGTAGGATTATTTATATATATGGGTTAATTAAAGGTTTTGGGCATAGGCGTTTTCCAGGATTTTACTAAGGGGGTGGTGACACTATTAGGTGGGCCTTCTCTATAAATTTTATTGGAGGTATTTTTTTTGGCTATATCAGATTTTTATAAAAATAATTTTAGGTTTTCACTTTTTTTAAAATAAAAATTTTGAATTATAGTCGATATTTTAAAAGTTATTATTGCATTGTGGGAAAGGGGGGGGGGTGGAATTCCCCCTTTGTTTACGCGTCTGGTTTGGATATGCGTCAGAGTTAAGATATATTCTGTTAATATGGTGCCGAAAGTTAACAAAAGAAAAGTAAGAAATTGCGTTTATTATATTATTACATTAATCTAAAAAAACTAAAAACTATTATCAAAAAATAAGATATATATATATCTTTCATATTAAATACAAATTTGATTAAACAAAAATAAAAAGTATCAAAATATATTACAAAAATATTTTAAACAAAAGAAAGGTTACATGCTTAAATAATCGTAAGTTTTCATCAACATATTAAGTAAGGTTATATTTTCAAATAATACTAATTAAAGTTATATAAAATATCAATACAAATTTAAATATAAAAAATCCCATTATTTAACTTATTCAGAAATGGTTTTTGATCAAAATTTTAATAATAACTTGACAAATCTGAAAGATAAAAATGATCATGATAGAAAGATAAGACATAATATTTTCTTAAAAAAATCAAAGAGCTATATTTTTTTCTGCACCTCATTTTAAATTGTAAACGAATTCTATTCTAAGCTGAGATTTCTTGAATTTCGTAGACTGAGTATTATAATATTCTATATCCACTCTTTTTTGCAGAATTTGTGTTTTTTCGATAAATGAATTCTTCAATATTATGTTTTTGTTAAATATTGTATTCCATATTTCATTTTTGGTTATCCCTATTTTGTTTAGCCATTTAAAAATAGTTTTATTTACCCCTCTTTTGTTTTGTTAGTACATAAAAATTAAATAAAGTTTTTTTTAAGGTCTCTCTTTTGTTTTTAGTTAAGTACATTGTAAAATTAAAACATATGGTTTTTGTGTTTTTTTTACAGGGGTTTTTCTTATCGTGAGGTGTGCAGCAAATATAAGTTAAATATAAAGGTTACCCTGCATCCAGAGGTAAAATTAGAGTTCCGAAATGTATAGGGGGTAGGTTTTATCTCCAATTATGTAAGTTAAAACTAACAACTCCTTTTCGCAAAAACGTTATTTTTTTTTTCTTTTTGCGTCAATTTTATTTTAAATTATAATTGCGCGTTTTATTTTCTCTATAAAAGGGACTAATTTTTATATTTTGAGACATACTTATTTTTTGAAAAATATTATTTTTGAAAATATATTTTTTTTTACTTACAATAATTTTGGTTATTATAATTAATTAATTCAAAATACAAGTGTTGTATTTTCTTTTAATAATCTAAAATGACACATACTAGATCACATGGCGAGGTGCCACCTTCTATTTTACCAGTAATTGAAGCCCCGCAACTTCAGTTTTTATATATATCCACAATAAAAATGTTAAAATATATATATTAGGGTTATGCTTTATTTGTATAAGATATACTATTTAAAATACAAGAAACACTTTTTTCAGACGCTATCCTGTACAAGATTTTTAATGGATATAGAACATTACAATACTCAACCTGAGATTTGTATATATTGTCTATAATGGTTAAATCTAGCGTGGTTTTGGGTCCATTTTTAAAAACGATCCGATTAAGATTTTAAAAATAATATTAAAGCATCGATTTGACAAATAGACGTCTAAAATCCAAACCTTTCTGCCATCAATGAGCAAAATCTCTGTGCTTGCATAATATTTTGGCTACTTAATCGGGCCCTTTAACAACACTAGTTAAACTAAATATTTGTAAGTGATTACAATTTTTGGGTGTGATTAACTGATGGTATGCCGAGAAAAATTAAAAAATTTAATTTCTTAAGATACAGGCCCCGAATTTTTTTTCCCCTGAAATCCCATCCCATGACAAAATAAACCTACCTCTCTAGACTAAAGATCAAATATAAATAAAAGAAATTTTTTTTATTTGTTTACTTTTAATGTATCATAATCCATTTCTTGAGAGTATAAATTCTGCTTGATAAAATTATGACTCAAGTCTAATAATTTCGAGGCGAATTGCATGCTCTTTCTAATCTTTTATTTATATATATTACAAATAAAAAAAGTTAGATAATATTTTTCGTGCGTTTTTCTTTTAGGCTATGTCCAAAACCATTTAAAAGAAAATTGGTAAAGTTATACGAAAATTTTTATTTAAAATCGCATTTTAAATTTTTGAAATTTATAAAATTTTCTAAAAATTATGTTTTGGACATGTTTATAAAATGACTTTCAATCAAGTACATGGACCAGAAATTGAGGAAAATAATGAAATACGAACGGACAGGAACGATCTTATTACCTAATCATAAATATAATATTTACAATAAATATTAGTTTTTTTCTCTTTAATTCTAATGCTGTAATGTGTCCAGAAGTATATTGTCCGTTTTCAAAATCTCCAAGTCCTAATTTAAAAAGCCATTTGATTTGTAATATTAATTATATAATATAACTATTAAACATTTATTTTAGATTGTTGTATTTTATAGGGTTATTAAATTATTATAATAGATACATTGAGTAAAAATCATTAAATGTTTTATATTAATATATAAATAGTTAATAGAATTTATTTATTTTTAGTATTCTTTGAAATTATAATTTAATCCAATCGCTATTATTTTTAAGTTTTATCAAGGGTTTTACTGTTGAACTTGAACACAATTTACAATAATATAAATTTATAAATAATTAATTTTTATATGTGTAAAAGTTTTTATATATTAAAAATTAATAGTAATTTTTTAAAATAAAAATATTTTGCAACAACTTTCATATAAAATTGTTTGGCTTGCTATAATTATTGCAAAGATAACATATTAATAACATTTTTTTTTTAAAAATAGCAAGTTAATATTTTTTTAAGAAAGTTGTTAGAAATATATGGAAATGTTTTACAAATAATATTAATATTGTAAATTTATTAAAATAAAACTATTAATTTATAACATGGCTAAACATATTGTGTGTGTATAAATACATTTTACATTATTGTATTAAATGTTTTTAAAAATTTATCTTATAATTTTGAACGAATGTGAACGCGTTATATTTTTGAAAGTAAATGAATGCGAACGCATTAGATTTTTCTCAATGAGAAAATGTTTACAGCACTATTTAATTTGCATAAAACCATATTTATGTTTATACTCATTATTTAAATTTAATGATGTAATCTTGGATTATAAAATAAATCAAATTTTAAAAAATTATTAAGTTTTAAATTGGGAAAATTTGTTACTAAGCTAGAATCTATATTAAGGCCAATATGCAAATACAAATAGTAATCCTTTATAGAATTTCTTAATTAAAACTTTGTAATAAAATAAAACGATATATTAATAAAATTAGAAATTTTTTAAGTAATACATTCCTAAAAGTTAAAAAATATTGAATGGAACCAAATATTTTTTTGGCTGAAACGATAACAGAACAGGAATGAAGAAATGCCATTGTTCTGGAATCCTTCTTTCAATATATTAGTGAAACTTGTAATCATAATTTATTTTATGGTATGTTTAATAATTTATTAGTAATAAATTTAAATTGGTAAAAATAAATAGAAAAAAAATTACAAAGCCTTATTTCCCATGTGTTTTAAAATTTGTAGATGAATTATATTTTTCTACAATTCCTGAATTAATGTCAGGCTAATATTTATGAGGATCCATTATCATATTTATGAAAATTCATTAATATATTGATTGTTGATAGTGCATAGGCATATCCAGAATTTTATTATAAGAGGGGGGGGGCAATTATTAGGCAGGTTTTTCTATTTTAAATTTATTAGAAGTCTTTAGATCCACTTATTTTAGGCCTTTGGCCACGGTTGTTGAAAAGCCAGATTCGTGTCGATCTTTAAAAACGACCGGATTAAGATTTTAGCCAAAATAATATTATGCAAACCTAGAGATTTGGCAACAAATCGTTCTTTAGCAAAATCTCCAGGCTTACTTAATATTATTCTGGCTACAATCTTAATCGGATCCTTTTAAAAAATCGACACAAAACGGGCTTTATAACAACCCTACCTTTGGCTATATTATTTTTAAAAAACGGTATTTTTCTAATAAATTATAGTAATAAAAATTTATTAAATTTTGCTTCCAAATTCTTTGATATATTGTATATATTTTTGGGAGATAGGGGGATGGAGGCGTGTGGGGGGGGGGGAGTTTTATTAGTTTAAAGTGATATTTAAGACCCCCTTCCCCCACCCCCATTACACTTCTTATACTCTTAGCAGATAGGGGGGGGATTTTTATTTATAATATGATCGATGATTAAATATGTTATAAGAACTATAAAACTAAATTTAAAAAAATGCTGAGAATGATTTTATTTTGTATGAATTCTGTTTCCTCTCCCTATTCTTTGGAAATAAAATTCTAGACATGCCAAAGATGTGAGTATCAGCCAACACCAAAGTATTGGTGCATTTTCTGCGAATAAGCAAAGATAGATAGTATTGGATAGGATCAAGGTTTTTTGTACATATCAGCCCTGTGTGATCTTACTTGAAAATGGTATGGATCAGCTTATATCTTATCAGTTATTTAACATTATCACAGCCCAAATTATATATGTATTTATTACATATTAATTAAACCTTCCAAAAGATCTTATCTCCATAATTTTCATGTAAAATATGTTCAGCTTTAGCCAACATTAACACTCTAAAAAAATATATTTGTGTATATTTAATAATTTACCTTTTTTCTTTGTAAGAACTTATGAGATATTTAGCTACAGAGCTAGCAGTTGCTAATATCGAGATACAAGATAAATTCTTGGCATACAATTTTTGACTAGATCTTCCTGTTTCCACTGATAGTAAAAAAATATATTTTTGAAAATTAAATTTGTTAATAATTTTTTTATGTAAATATAAATTGACACGGTTATTATTAAGTTTCAAATAATACCCAAATAAAAATTCTGTAAATCTTTGAAACTCTTTAGAAAAGGGGTATTAATAAGACATTTTTCCTCTTTAATATAATCCAAATTTTGATGTCCCATTTTAGTATAATCATATTGTAAATATAAAATATTGTCAACATGGTTTCCAAAATCTGTTAAAAATTTATAAGAGATATAAAAAAAAATTCATATTTATTTTAAGAAGTTTTAAATAAATTTTTTAGTTTTTTTGTCTAAATTAAGTAAATTTTTGTATAAAGATAAGCAATAGCAATTAATAACTTTTTTAAATATAACAATATCCATTTAAGTTTTATGTAAAAAAATTACCTCTAATAAAATACTCAAGTTCAATTACAGGTGTCTCAGATTTAATTTGAACCATATTAAAAAATGTTTCCCAATTTAATGCCTCATAATTGTATGATTTCCAGTGATACAACTTGTTCCAGGGTGTTAATATAAGAAACCAGGTGTCTTCATATGTATTTAATATTTTAATTAACTGTGCAAGTCTTATAAAAACATCACACCTTAAATTAAATCCCTCATTTAAATTAACATCATACAGTAAAAATTTTATCTTTCCTTTGCTTCAAATTCAATTTAAAATATTAAAATTTTTTTTTATAAAACTTCTTTCTAAATTTTTCTGAATAACATTGTTGCTGTAGAGTAAAATTTGGAAGCAAGATAGATATACAAAATAAAAATTCTAAAATTTGTTGCATGCTTAATTAAATGAATGAATATTAATGAACAAACCATTTATGATTATTATAGCAGACGCCCAATGTGCTAATAAAGAGAGCAGACGCTTTTATAAAAAAATACATTTATAAATTTTTTTAAATAAATGACTTAAACATTAATACTATAATATTTGTAATATAAAATTTGTTAAAGTCAAATTCGCGCAATTATCTTATTTAAAATGATCCTTCCACATTTCGCTCTATTAAAATTAGAAGCATTTTTTAAGGCAGTTACTGGTATAACATTTAGCATGTCAGGAGATTGGCATTTGATCATAATATTAAATAAATTCTCTTTGCTATGTTTATGTTCTTTAAATTTAATATATCATTTTAAAATATATAAAATACATCGGACCCGGATTAATTATCGGTCATCACTTAACACTAATTGTTATTAATTTCTAAAGCATTATTTTCTTATATTAAGATCAATAATTCTTGATACTTTTACTTTGCTCTCTTTAAAATGTTCATTCTTAAAATAAGTGAAGAAACTTATTTAATTCTTTTCATTTAGTTAATCATTCAAATCTAATAGGAGTTATTCTGCATGCTTATCAAATACAAATATTCCCTCCCTCTGCGAGATCTTATCATAACTTGCTATATACTATAAGCCTGCCTTAATTTTGTGAGAGGGGGAGAACACTATCAGGTGTCCCCCCTCCCCGCCCCAATTAAATAAATTCTCTTTGCTATGTTTATGTTCTTTAAATTTAATATATCATTTTAAAATATATAAAATACATCGGACCCGGATTAATTATCGGTCATCACTTAACACTAATTGTTATTAATTTCTAAAGCATTATTTTCTTATATTAAGATAAATAATTCTTGATACTTTTACTTTGCTCTCTTTAAAATGTTCATTCTTAAAATAAGTGAAGTTTGAAACTTATTTAATTCTTTTCATTTAGTTAATCATTCAAATCTAATAGGAGTTATTCTGCATGCTTATCAAATACAAATATTCCCTCCCTCTGCGAGATCTTATCATAACTTGCTATATACTATAAGCCTGCCTTAATTTTGTGAGAGGGGGAGAACACTATCAGGTGCCCCCCCCCCCCGCCCCATAAATTTTAATGCAACTTTTAGATTTACTCATTGTGGGCCTTAGGAATGCTAGATTTTTATAAAATCTTGGGTTATCGCTTATTTTTCCTTATTCGTTATTTTTAAAAGTTATTTACTTTTACTAATTTTTCTTTCAAATTCTTCTTTATGGTGATTGTATATATTTTTTTGGAAGATAAGAGTTGGGGGATGGGGGTGTAAGGGGAATTTTTTTATTAGCCTAAAATAATATTTATGAGAACCAAAATTAGCACCCTCATTCCTTGGCTATGCCAATGTACTGTATACATATTTGAATACAATTTATAAGATGTTCTTAAATATCTTTCTTAAGATATTATTATACTATAGCTTGAATTCAAAAATTTCTTATTTGAAAGAATTCAAGAACTATTAAAATGAATGTCTTTTAGTTATTATAAATACAGTAAACTTGAATTTTTAATGGTTAATGTGTGAGTTATTTATTCTAGCTTTACAAATTGTTTGAGAAAAATTTTACTAATTAAATAATGGATATAAGTATCATAATTTTTACTTAAAGTATATTACTGTGCAAAATTTGATTATTTTATTAGATTTTTAGGTAGCCTTATTAAAAATATAAAAATATTTATAAATATTTTTTTTAAAGATGTTTATTTAGTATTTCCGCATAACAATAATATAGATGATCAATATAATGATAGGTTTTAATTGTAATATAATAATATTTATATAATATATTAAGCTAGAAACGATTGTATGCAAAACTTTCTCATTCATAAATTATCCTTTCAATTTTCTATTCAATTTTCCATTCAAATTATTTATTTTTAATATTTCATATATTCAGCAGAGCCCTTCAAACTAACTCTTTATTCAATCTCGCCCAAATTTTTTTTTAAGCCTAGCCTAACCTGTCATTATCAATGTTTATTTTATGTCTAAGTTTCATTTATTAATTATTTCAATATAAAGACTAAGATATTTTCTTTTAATATTTTAAAAACCCGTGGCATGCAAATTAGTTTGAAGGACTTTTCAAAAAAATAATTGAATTTGCAAGGTTCTGAGGTTTGTTCGAGTCCTGTTTTTAAAAATAATTAAACCTACGCAATATTTTTCAAGAATTATTTGTAAAGTGCAGGATTTTAAATCAGCCATTTCCTATTTACTTAATTTATCAAATATTCATCCTCTAATCGTATTCAATTTTGTATTAATAGTTTTCTCAAAAGAAAGAAAGATGATGTATATTTTGATAATATTCATAACAATTACTATTTGTATTATTAATCTTAAAATAATGTTTACAGCAATTTAAAAAATAAATTAATAGTTAAATTTATATAATTGCTCATAAAGTTAAATATTTTTTTGTATTATAAAAAATATAAATGGATTAAAATTAAACAATAATTTAGTAAAATTTTATATAAAAATATAAATATAAAAGTGAGGTAGGATTATTTTTAAATATTTTGCTATAATTTAAAAAAATGTAAATTACTATCAAAATATATCTAAATTGTGTATCTAAACTAGAGACCTTCACGTGCATTAAATTTTTGATCAAGTTTGGCCCAGGCTAGCAGTAAAACAATTTTTAAGTCTAGGACCAGTCTATTAATATTTAAAAAAAATACAAAGTCTACCCCAAGCCCATAATGAGTTCCAATATTTTTACAATATTTCCCTCCAATAATAAAATATTTAAAATAATTTATGTTATTGTGGCGGACAGTGGCGTATCCAGGATTTTCTTATGGGGTGGGAAAATTTTTTTGGGGGCTTCGTCCCCAAAACCCCTTTATCTGGCCTTCGGCCAGCTTTCCCCAGCCTTCGGCCGGGTCTTATGTTTTAGCTATTCCATTAAATTATTCATAATTTAATAATAATTATATTTATATTTGTAACTATTATTTACTAATTCGTGCTAATGGATATTACAAGCCTATTTTTTTTATTATTTTTAGTTAGGTATATTATATTTAATAAAGTATTTTAAATGTAAAGTTGAAATAAATTTTAATGTCATTTTTTTTATAAAATTTGCTTTAAAGCTACCCTTAACTTAAATTCTCATACAATATTAGTATAATATAATTTTTTTATTGAAAATATTAATAGTAGTGTGTATAAAATATTAATGTTGTTAAACGGCTCGTTTTGAGCCGATTTTTAAAAACGGCTAACTCAATATTTTCGTCAGAAAAATATTAACTAAGCCTCGAAATTTCTATACTATATGTCTAGACCTTTGCTTCTTCTATGAGCAAAATTTTCAGGCTTGCATAATATTTTCCTGGATAAATAATTGAGTTAGCCGTTTTTAAAAATCGGTTCAAAACGAGGCGTTTAACAAAACTATAAAATATTGACTAGAAAATAATTAAAAAAACAAGTTTTTTTAAACTTCTTATCAAATACAGTATTATACAAAGTTTTCTATTAAATACTATAATTATAATGTGATTTTTAATTTTCGTGAGAATGTTGCCAATCCATCAAGAATTTTGTTTGTCGTTGGAACCAAATCTCTGTGGATATTTAACAGAGTTAACCCATTTAGCCGAGATTCGGAAGTAGTACTTCATAAATATGTTTTCAACCTTCTTAAGTTGGAAAGTCCTTACATTCGTACCTGTTATAATAGGCAAACATGGTAGAATATAAAACAACTTCAAAATATTAGGAATTTGAGCCAAGGTTTCTCTACACCGATTGAGCGCATCAATAGCATGCTCAGGTAAAATAGCTAAACGTAGTAAATATTTATACCACAATTCGAATTCACTAATTAAATTTATTTCAGTATCAATATCATAGGAATAAAATTTTGCTAAATATTTAATTTTACCAATAGTGGCATTAGAAAACCAAGATGGATCTTTGGGTATTAAAACTTGAAGATTGCTAAAGACTTGTTTTTTATCTAAAAACCGTACTTTTATTTGCAAAAAGTATCTAAGAATGGGATGAAAGTAGATATTTTATAATATTCTTCAGTTGAGCCAATATTTATTTTACATCTCAATAATTGCCCAGGTGCTAGACGAGGTTTAATTAGTGTTATATCATAAAATTTAGCCTTCGATTCAACGTCTATATAAATATTATGAAAATATTCATTTACATTCATTCTTATTGTATCAACCTGTTCATATATATTTTCCCCCAAATCAATAACCTGAACCAAATCTAAATTTGGTTTTTGTAAATTTCTACAAAGTAGTGAGCTATAGGAAAATAATTTATTGATGCAACTAGCAGCAATGATAAACTCTGATTGATCAATTGAATTCAATAATGATATCGCTTCTGACGACACATTACATTTTTTCATGCTCAGCCTTATTTAACTTTTGTATTTCTATTTCTTCTGTTCTACAAAATCGAAATAAAAATAAAATATTTAAAAAATTATAGATATTTATTAATAATTAATATTAAAAATACTTATTAATTCTAACTTACTAATAATTTTGAATTTAATAAAATAATTATATATAATAATAAACTAAATTACCATTTGATTTCAATCTCTTTGACTTAAAATTTTTCCATTTTATTAATATTTTTGAATAATGTTAATGTACTCACAAGGAAAGGAAATTTTAATAAAATGTATTTATAAAAAATAAGATTTATGTTGGAAAATTGTTATTCAAATATTTGTAAAATTTTGATTGGGGGGGGGGAGGGGTGGAGGGTAAAATTTTTATTAGCTTAAAATGATATTTAAGAAAACAGTTGAATTTGTGATGGGGGGGGAATTTCCCCCTTTCCCTCCATTGGTTACGCGCCTGGTGGCGGATATGACGCTGATTTTAATAAGCCAATCTATTAAGGTGCATTACAACCCTGGCGCTCCATCAAAATCAAAGATGCCAATAGTAGTCAAGGGCCTCCATTTACAGCATCGTTGTTATGCAACTCACCAGTAAATTACCCTATCATTACTTAAACCCTTAACTCCCAATTCTCCCACTATAGATAGGTATGGAGGAGAATCTTTCGCTCTCCTAATTCTTTTAGCAGGCAATGCACCCTATATTTTATAATAAATTTCACGTGTCCATTCATAAAAAATAATAAAATGGATTTTAGAAGGGAATTCTTTAGGATATTTTATTTAATATGGGTTATTTATAACTTATTTCAGTTTTTTATTTATTTATTTTTATATGGTTTATTCTACATTCAAACCTTCAGTCATTTTTAAAAATTTAAATTAACATTTTTATCTTGACTGAGCATTTATTAATTCTTCCTCATATTTAAATATTTTCCTGAATTAAACAATTATATAAAAAACAACGAAAAATTCATCTTTTTAAAAAAACAAATATCATTTTATAAAAATGTTAACTCATAATCACGAGATTTTTCCGTCATTTTTATTAAGTTTTATTATTGTTAATAATTTAGTAGATGTCAATTTTTTCACCTAACTTAAACAAAGAAATTGTTTTTTTTGCCAAATATGCGTTTTTATGAGTTATATTTGAGAATTTTGTCCAATTTTTTAGTATTAGAAAAATATTCGATATTGCCAAAAAATTATGAAATTAATTATCATTTATAAATATTAAAATAAATCCGGTTTAAAATATTGTTAACTAAAAAAAGTAAAAATCTTTATACCGAAAAATCAACAAGATATAATTAAATTATCATAATTAAACATTAGTTTAGTTATGATTAATTCTAAGTATTCCCGATAGCATGTATTTATGTTAAAATAAATATATGAATTACCATTTATCAGCTATTAAAAAATTTGAAACTCTTTTATTTGTGTTTATATTATATAATTAAATCTTGAGCCATTTTTCACTTTAAAATAACATTTTTATTTTGACTGTGAGCATTGATTAATTCTTCTGAATATTTAATTACTCTTCTCACTGAACGATTAAATAAGAAACAACAAATATATATATATTTTTTTAAAAAAGCAGCAATATCATTTGAAATATAATCAGTTAGCTGGGATAGAGAGATAATAAAATACCAAAAGTGTTAATTTTTACAATCGCGTGATTTCTTTCCATCATTGTCTTAGAGTTGTATATTGCTAGTAATTTAATAGCGGCCAATATTTTTACTTAAATATAACCAAGACATTTGTTCTCTTTGCCAATTACGCATTTTTTTAAATATTATATATTATAGTTTTGATCGTTGGGTCCAATTTTTTTTAATATTAAAATAAAAATTAATATTGCCATAAAAGCATTAAATTAGTCATCCTTTATTATTTTAAAAATATACGGTTTGAAATGTTGCTATTTAAAAAAAAGTATTAGTAGAAATCCTTGCCAAAAAAAATCACTATTATAATTATAATTTTTATATCTTAAACATTAAAATCTATGAAGTTTTTAACATATTTTATTGCTTGCCTGATTATTCTAGGTATAATATAAATAATAGATACTGTAAAAAAAATATAAAAATTTAGGCTACGATTATTTCTCAGTATCCCCGTTATTTTACAATGCAGCCACCCTTTCCGTTAAAAGTAAATTCAATATTTTTATAGTTGCGGATTTTTTTATATTCTTCTTCATATTGTATATCCGTTGTTAAGCTGATATTCTAAGGCTTGAACTGATATTTAAACAAAAATTATTCTAATATCGATATTAGGGTTGTTAAACGACTCGATTTGAGCCGATTGTTTAAAAACGGCTGGTTCAATATTTGTATGACAAAAAATATCACGCTAGTCTAAAGATTTTGTTCAAAGATGGCACAGAGGTTTTGACATATATTAGCAAACAAATAAAACATTATATTTGAGTCATAACACTTAAAGGTTCTGATAGTTGCATGGCTACCTAATCTAAGGCTTGGGTTTGTTTAAATTAACATTACAAGCTTTTAAGCGCAGTGTCAAATAATTTAATCAGACGCAGACCTAATGCAACATAAACACTTTATAACTTAAATAAAGTTAAAATCATATAAATATTACTTTGCGTTCCCTCTGGTATTGTGTCACTGCTTCGCTCTTAACATCATTGAAAATCGTGTATTTTATCTTTTATCAATAAACCTTATTAAATGTATTTCTCAATTATTCAGATTGCACTGTTTCCATGGCCTGGGGGAGGGGTGCTGCCATTTGCCTCAAGATATTTTACAGGTTGTAGGTAGTAATAGACTCCTAGTAAAGATTAAAAAGAATGATTGGGTGGTATATTTAGGTGTGGTGTCTCCAATTATTTCGCTGACAGATTCTAATTATTGAAATATTGCTTTTCTTGAATTTATGTGTCTTTAAAACATATTTTTTAATAAATATAAACAATTTTAAAAATCCAAACAAAAATATCTGCCTTAGGCCATGGATGGTTATGCTTTTAGAGCTATAACTTTTATTCATTTTTAAACTTCAAGATTTTGGCTTGAATTTTTATAATTTTTCATTAAATTTTATTATTTTTATCATTTACAAAATAATCAATTTTGAATAAAAAAGCAAAATTATTTTAAAATAATTAGGGATGAGAAAGAGGTATGGGGTGGACACATTATGTAAATTTGTTTGTGTTCTAAGGAAAAAATTATAAATTGGAGAGGAGTATGCATATTAATAAAAGCTATATTAAGACTAAATTCTAGCGAATATAATTTTAAAATAAGACTAAGTTGTTTGGCACACTAGGATTTACATATCCCCTGTCTCCCCTTAACATTTTAATTTTATAGGCGATTACTAGAAGCTTTTTCAAAAATGTAATATAATTTAATGCTTGTATAAAAATATAGAATACGACCCAAATAAGCAAGCCCAATCTTAAATTAATTTTTTTTGAACTTTATATATTAGGGTTTTACATAGGTAAAAACAAATAAAATAAAATTATGATATTCATGAATCCCAGATAAATTTTATTTTATAGTGACTAATTTCGCTTATATTTTATTTTAAAAATGATCATCTTTTAATATAATGATAAGGAAACCAGAATTTAAAGTAGAGATATACTATAGTTAAAATTTTTTTAACTTTAGTTTAGTGATTGTGCAGGTTGGAAAGATTTCTAAAAACAATGGGCAGGGGAATTTAAAATATTTTGGGGCAGAACGATCAAAGCGAACTTATGTTTATTTTTTTAAAAAAAATTTATTTCAATATTGCATATTTTATTTGTATAAGTAAAAATACATTAAAATAAAATGAAATAAATCAAACTAGTGTTGTTAAACGGAGAGATTTGTGTCGATTTTTTAAAAAAGTCTCTAAAGATTTTAGCCAAAATAATATTAGATGAGCCTCGAGATTTGGCAAATAAAGGTTCAAACTTTTTTGGTACCTATGAAAAAAATCTCCAGTTACATAATATTATTTTGGCTAAAATCTTAATCGGGTTGCTAACCAAAAATAAATTTTTATACACTGGGCGTAGTGATGAATCGTTCATTTGAGTGGATTTTTAAAAATGGCTGACTCGGTATTTTATTCCAAAAAATATTACGCGCCTATGCTCTCAGGTGGCACAAAGGTTTAGACATCTTTTAGGGAAATCTCGAGTGGCAATATATTATTGGCAAAAATATTGAGTTATTTTTAAAAATCGACTAAAATGGAACGATTTTGCATCATTATGGGCGGACATTCGGCTTAAATACTTGCTCATTGCAGACATATAATTTGAATTTCGGTAAACGAGAAATGCTAGATTTAGTTAAAAATAGTTTTACAAGATAAATTTATATATAAAATATAATATTTAAATTGTTAATTAATTATATTATTTTATAACAGAAATATGTCATTTACCAAAGGTTGTTGGACCATGCAGGGCTGCTATTAAAAGTTGGTATTACAACCCTAAAAAAAGAAAATGTTTGGGTTTTACCTATGGGGGTTGCAAGGGAAATTTAAATAATTTCGGCTCCATAAAAAGTTGTCAAAAGTTTTGTGCAAGAAAATTAAAGCTTTAATCTCTAACTAAAAATTTAATTAACTATATTATACTTATATTGCAAAATTTAATAATCTATTTTATATTATTAACTAATAATTCTTTATCAACAAATAATTCTATATTATATTATTAACTAATAATTCTATATTTCTCCAAAATGAAGTTTATTTATATGATATACAATTATTATATTTACATCATTTAAATCAGTTAAAAATAAATACAAATATTTGCAGTCATTTTTTTAAAGTTCCAGTAGAACACTAGGGTGGGGGGGGATTGCAGGAGCTAAAACTCCCTGAAAAATTTGAAGAGACCTCTGAAGTTTTTTTTTTTTTAGAAAATACATAATTAAAAGAATTTTAAAAATACTTCTCAAAAAAAATTTTTAAGGAATTTTCTGAAAATTTTTTTCTTTTAAGTTAAGCCTCTGAGAGATTGTGTCATGTGTTAAACTTAATCAACTAACTTACTTGATAATAAATAAACAATTTTTTTAAAAAATACATTTCAAATTTTGTGCTAACAATCTAGTATATTTAGACTTTTAAAGTATCTATATTATGATATAACAAAATAAAAATGGTACAATATTTTTTAAAATAATTATTAGTTATTGCTGGAATCATTTTTACTTAAAATACATTTGCATTAAAAAAATTTATATGGAAAGGGGCAGCTTGTTTTTTATTCATTTAAAAATTAATAAAAAGAGATTTGATTATCAATTAATTCATCTTGGTTTGCCGGCAAAACCATCAGTTAGTGTGTTGTTAAAAGGCATTTTAAAAACAGTTAACTCAACATCTTACCCAGAAAAATATTTCACAAACCTGAAGATTTTTCTCAAGAAGGCACATTGATGTCGACATCTATTAGCGAAATCTCGAGTCTTAGGACATATTTTTTAACCTACCATTTTTAAAAATTGGCTCAAATCGAGCCGATTAACATGAGGTCTATATTTTATTTACTTTAGGTAAGACCTCGTTTTTTTACAACATAAATATTTAGGATACTTATAGTTAAGCACAGTAATTTGATTTATTTAAAGCAAAACTAAGGGGGAGGGAAATTCCCTAATTTTAAGAATTAGACTACTACACTAGTGTTGTTAAACGACTCTATTTTTAAAAACGGATAACTCAATATCTTTGTTAAAAAATATTACGCAAGAGTGAAAAATTTTCTCGTAGATGACAAAAAGGATGGGACATATATTAAGGAAACATCTAGGCTTGTATAATAATATTTTAGCAAAAATCTTAATTAAAATTGAAGAAATGGAGCCACTTAACTACACTATACTACACTCTTTAAACCATCTCACCTCATTATAAACAATTAATTTAAAAAATATGAAGAGTTTATAAGTTAGAAAATTTTTCTAAATAAAAGAATTTGAAAAGAAATATATATAATCAAAATTATATTTAAGAAAAATATATTCCAACCAAAGACCTGCAAAAATCTGACCTAAATGGATGACGACAATGTTCAAAAATTGTGCCGGGTCAAAAATATTTTAAATATTTTGACTTGCCAAATTGTGGGGAGGGGCACGCTGACTCCGATTATATCCAAAGTTTAATATAATGGAGCTAAGTGTGTAAATCAACCTATTTGTATCGTGGATGTAAGATTTCTTGAAAATTTATAGACTAAAATAAAAAATCAAATATAATAGAGAAAAAATTCAAAAAATGATCCATTTCTATTAGGCATCATAATCTAGATTTAAATGCTCACGCTAATACAAATTCTTTCTTTTTAGTATTACTTTCAATGTGATAGATATTTGACCAGATAACCATATCTTAGACATTTTCGAAATTCTGAAGTATATTTTTTTAATACTTTCTGAAAGCTAAAAAATTTATTTTATAATTTATTATTTAAATAAAATTCAATTAACTTTAAAATAATAAATGCAATAATATTTAAGAGAATACAGTTGCAACCCTACAGAGGATCAGATTACAATGAACTTATCAATTTTGAAATTGATAATTTAAATCATGAGAATTTCCTTGAGATGATATAAATCATATTAAATAAGAATACTGGTCACCAAAGATTTGATTTTGCAAGATAATATGCAGTATTCAATATTATCTTGATTTGTTTCTCAATGTGATTAATCATTTTTATTGCAATCTATGGCATAATTTTTTTACGTAAACATCTTAGTATATGTGTTCTATCTTGTAAATGGCTGCTATCAATGTTGCACCATTCACTTGATATATGCAGTTTTATTATTAATATATAATTAGTTATTTTTCCTTAATGTAAACTCATATATTAAATGAAATATGATTATTACAATTACATTACCAGACTAATTATAAAAAAAATACAAATATCTGTATTGCACTCATTATTTCTTAATATTCACATATTAGCAAAATAAAAATACATTTTTAGCTAACATTCTGCTATATTTAGAATCACAATTACATGGAGATTGGTTTATGTAATATGATTAATGATCGATGGTAAATAAAAAAGATATTGTCAAAATGGATGCTGATAAAAGAACCTGGCTAATTTAGACATAATTATATAATTACGATGAGGATCGCTGGGGTGGCCTAATGGGTTAGATGTATGCTTAAAAACAGAAGGCGAAGAAGGACGCAGGTTCAATCCTGGTAAGGAGCATAAAAACTTTCAAGTTTTTCTTCGATGACTGATGTGTAAAGACATATGGTAAGATAAATTTCGGAGCTTAGAGATGACACCCCGGTCACCGACAGGTCTGAACAGCCGGGTGCTAAGGATACCTGTCCAATAAACAAAATGAAGGAAACAAATGGAAACATGAATATGAAAGCTAGGGCGTTCCCTCCAAGTGACGCGCAGGGTGTAGACCTCCATCCTGTGAAAAGTAAAGTAAAGGTCAAAGCAAAGAAGACAAGATTTGCAAGTTTGAATATTGGGACGCTTAAAGGTAAGACGAGAGTATTGGCATCAATGTTGAACAAGATAAAAGTTGATATAGCGTGCATACAAGAAACGAAATGGAAGGGACAGAAGACTTTGATGATTGGATATGGGTATAAATTGTACTATAATGGAATTGTTAGCAATAGGAACGGTGTCGGCATCATCCTCAGTCAAGATCTAACCTCCTCAGTAGTAGAAGTCAACAGGATCTCTGATAGACTAATGAAGATAAAACTCTGCATTGGTCAATCAATACTACACATCCTTTCAGTATATGCTCCTCAAACGGGTTCAAGGAAGAAGAGAAAGATGACTTTAGAGCTATGCTTGATGAAGCTGTAATGGAACTCCCTAAGGACTAGTCATAATTGGTGGTGACTTAAATGCGCATGTGGGGAAAGCAAGAGATAGCTATAAAAGGCATCATGGTGGTTTTGGATATGGAGTAAGAAATGATGAAGGAGAGCATGTACTGAAAATTGCGCAAGCCTTCTACCTTGCCTTAACCAACACCTACTATAGGAAAAAAGACAGTCATCTAATAACATATGAAAGTGATACAAGGAAAACACAGATAGATTACATGCTAATCTCTCGCAGAAGATTAAAAGATGTAATAGACTGCAAAGTCATCCCAGGAGAAGATATCATCGCGCAACACAAGCTACTAGTCATGGATTTACACATCTCAAATAAATCCATTCAAAACAAGATAAAACTGGAACCATGCATCAAATGGGGCAAATTAAAAACAATGACAGATGCCTTTGCAATCAATGCAAACATTGAAACAATAGATTCCTCATATATGAAAAACAACAATGCTAGGGGTCCAGACGATATTCCAATAGAAAGCTAAAGCACTAGGAGGAGATGGTGGAATACATCTCCTCACAAATCTGTACAATAAAATACTTGGAAATGAAAAGGTTACCCAAAAATGGAGGCAGAGCTATTTAGTTCCTATCTTCAAAAATAAAGGGGATCCACACAATTTTCAAAATTACAGTGGCATAAAACTAATGTCACACTGTCTAAAACTATACTAAAAAATAATAGAAAAAAGATTAAGAGACATAATTCAAATAGGAGAGACTCAGTTTGGCTTTATGCCTGGAAGATCAACAACTGATGCTGTCCACGCAATTAGGCAAATGAGTGAAAAATACAGGGAAAAGAACAAAAAGCTACACATGATCTTTCTCGATCTAGAAAAAGCCTTCAGTAGAATCCCAAGAAAACTTATCTGGTGGGTGCTATGCCACAAAAGGATTCCTGAAAAATATATAAGAATAATACAGGATATGTATATGGGCCATACAACAATGGTACGTAGCACAAGGTACTTCAATAGCTGAAGGAGTTCATCAAGGGTCGGCTCTCATCCCACTTCTCTTCACTACAGTAATAGATGTATTAGCACAGTTTATACTTTAAACAGTCCCGTGGAATATGATATTTGCAGATGATATTGTGATACTTGCCAAATCCAAGGATGAAATGGAAGAAAGATTAGTGAGTTGAATAAATATTCTAGAAAAGCACGGACTAAAAGTAATTAGAGAAAAGACGGAGTATATGGTGATGGGAGGAGATGAAACAAAGAGTATTGATATAAATGAATGGCAGATATCGGCAATTGAAAGCTGCAAATATTTGGGCTCTACTATACAAACAAACGGCACAATAGAAAAAGAGATAAAGAGTAAAATTAATCAAGGGTGGTTAAAGTGGAGAACTTTATCTGGAGTGCTATTTGACAAAAGAATCCCACACAAATTAAAGGGAAAAATTTACAGTTCCATAGTACAATCAACTATTCTATATAGTTCGGAAACATGGCCAACCAAAGAATCAGACGAGAGAAGTCCACAAACTATGGAGATGAGAATGCTGAGGATGATTCTGCGGTAACAAGAAAGGATAAAGTGCACAGTACAAGAATACTAAGTAGTTTAAAGGTAATGCCCATTAAGACTAAGTTAATGGTAAACAGACTTAGGTGGTATGGGCACACAATGAGAAGGCCTATGAACTACATAGGAAATAAGGTTGAGAGTTTGGAAGTGATGGGCAAACGTAAAAGAGGAAGGCCAAAACTTCAATGGGGCCATAAAGTTAGAGCCAATATGAATAAGTATAAATTAGATAAAAGAGATTGTATGAATAACATAAAGTGGAGAGAGATGTTGAAGTAGCTTACCACCAAAAAAGGTGAAAGCTAAAGAGAAAAAAATAAATATAATTACGATGAGGCTTTGGGCTAGAAACCATAATCACCATGGTAAGATTTAGGTATTAGAGGATGAGTAGAGCTATGGGTTAGACCATAATGTTACCACTCTCAATGAGAAAAATTGGATTCGATGTGGTCCATCAAAGATGTCCTAGGATAGTTGCCTAGATTAAAGATTGGGCTACTAGTATAAAAATTAGATTCGATGCCATTAAAAATACTCTAAGGTAGGTGTCCAGCAGATTCAAATTAAAAAGAGGAAAGTCTATCGATGATGCCCATCGATATGGACACGTGATGATGACTACTCAGTTAATGATAATAAGGAGGAGTATTTAGGATCAAAGTAAATTGGTGGTGATTACATTGACCCCATGTTAGTTGAAGCGATAGCGGATTGTTCTAGAACATTCAGCGTTTTTTGTCTCTTGGACTGTCCACATGTATTGGTGCCAAATAGGTGTAGAATGGGTATGATAATCGTGTGTCTGTCAAAGAAATATAAAGATCCTCGAGGACCGGTCAACGTTTAATGCCATTTGAGTCCATTCAAGGTTTGCGATTGCACGAGGATGTTTTGGATTGGGCAAAGGAGGTGGGGGAGAGATGTAACGATTAACTATCTAACATCTACGGATATAGAGAAAGTATAGAAAGATCATATGATTAGATTAAAGAAAGTAGCTTGGCATATTATGATATTGCACAAATAAAAATTAGGTTCGTTTTAACAAGCTTTCTCTTGGTTGAAAATAAATGCCTTTTAAAATAGATATTATTAATTTATTAAATTTTTAATATACACCTTTCAAATACTTTCACCATGAACATTACTGCATCTTCCACCATCATATCATATTCTTTCATTAACTCCAATAAATTTTCCCGTCTTTCCCATTTTATTAAAACTAAAAATATATTCATCTTTCTAATGTATAAATCATTAAAAATTTTTACATATATTAATTTACAATATGCTAACCTAATTCCAACTATAATTTTATAATGCAAAAGCTATCAATAATTAATTGAACCAATTTTTGCACCAAATTAAATCGAGCAAAAGGGTATAAGTTCTCGTACTTATAAAAATAAAATTTGACTTATAAGCGAAGAAATATTGTGTAGAAATAATATATTTCATGGCTAAAAGGTATTTTTCATCAAAAATAAGCTTTCTAGACTAAACAAACGTTAAACATGCAGGATTAGTGTAAATGAGACATTATATTAGTAATTTTAAATTTGGAAAATCTTCATATAATGATAATGACCAAAATATATAAAATAATTCAACTTAATTTAAAAAATAGTTTGAAAATTAACTACTTGCTTTTGTCATTATCTTTCAAAAACTGTAACTACCTGCTGAACGATATTTATAAGATTTTATATGTTCTTTTATTTTAGAAAAAAAGTACGAATTTTTTAGGCTATATTTTATCTAATAATCTGAAAACTTTATAACTTATTCTAGCTTTTCATTTTATTTTATGATTATCCATAATAAGCTATTGAGCAATTTTAAAAATTTAAATTAACATTTTTAAATTGACAGAGCATTCTTCTGAATATTTAATTATATTTTCTGACTAATATTATTAATAAGTAATAAAAAATTATTTTTTTAAAAAAAAAACGATTATCTTTTGAGATATTAGTTAGTTTAGATTGGGATAATAATTACCAAATATAGATAAATTTTATAATAGCTCGAATAATTTTTCTGTCCTTTCTATTGATTTCATATTGTTATTATTATTTAGAAGCCAAATTTTTACATTAATTATAGAAGAAATTTGTTCTCTTTAAGTGATTCTCTTATTATAAATGATTGAGTTGTGTCCAATTTTTTTAAATTTTTTAAAAAAATATGTATTTAATATTGCCGTTAGTATTAAATAAAACATCCTATATATTTAAAAACTCCGGATCTAAAAAAAGGTAATAAAAAAATTCTTGCCAAAAATTCAGTAAGATATAATTAAAATCATCATATATAAACATTAAATTAAAGATTAAAATTTTTTATATATTTTTATTTAAAATAAAAATCAAACATGAAGTTTGTGACATATTTTATTGCTTGTCTGATTATACTAGGAGGTAATATGTATAATAGAATATTTAAAAATAAATATATTATAAAAATTTAGGTTATAACTATTTCTCAGTATCCTCGATAGCGTGCAGTTCGGCATCTCCTCCTGTTGAAGGTAAATTCATTTTTTTTATATAGTTGATGGTTTTTCTTCCTCTAGTAATTATATCTCATCTGGTGTTTTTTTTTGTTAAATCACAACTTTATTTTAATTGAACCTTAGAATATCTCTTTTTTTAAAAGTAAATATCTTTATATATTAAATATTTTAAATTTTATTGGAGATTTAAGAAATTGTAGTTCCAGAATAAATATTTTCTAGTCTACCAATCACGCATAAATAGCTTAGAATATTAGCTGATTCAATGGGTCCCATATTCGATTTCACATTATTCCTATAACTATTTTTTATTCTATATCAATTTGGTATGAGTGTTGGATTTTTTGACCACTATAAAGAAACAGTTCTTATTTTATACCATGTCATAGCCTAAATCATTAAATGATATTATTTTTATTTGTGCCACTATCCTAGAACTAAAATAAATGAAATTTAAAAACAGTGTTCGATATGCAAAGTTGAACCTTTGTATTAATGCCAAGATAACAGAGTTGTTAAACGCTATTTTAAAAGTAGCGCGCTACCGTAATAGCTATTTGTCAAAAAAAGTAGCGCGCTACCGCTTTCGCTATTTGTGAAAAAAAGTAGAGCGCTATTAGCTACTTTTTTCAAAAGTAGCTTTAGCTACTTTTAAGCTACTTTTTATAAAAAAAAATTTAGAAACAAATGAAATAAATTTTTTTTATTTTTTTTTGCTTATAATGTAAATGTATAATAAATAATATATAAAAATCAACATTTATAAATATAAAAATATAGTTAGTTTAGATTATAAAAAAATAAGCATTATAAATAAATATTTATTTTAATTTGTTGCATTTTAATAATAATATCATTTCAATATTATCATCCCCAAGTCTAGAACGACGATCAGAAAGTATAAGCTTTGCTTTACTAAATAATCTCTCGACACTAGCACTTGAGGGCAAGGGGGTATTAAATTTTATATATAAATTTTTAATATATTAAAAATTATCAAAAATATTCATTTCAATATTTTTTGATTGAAAAAAAAGATCAATTGGATTTTCTATTAAATCATCTTTAATTTCAAAAAAATTATTTGAGGATGTCTTCGTGGTAGATACTCGGCAATCTATATTTGTTGGAGTAAGATTATTCAGCTTAGCCTTAGCCATTAGCCTATCGCGTTGATGTTTTCCATATACTCCTAATATAAGCTATATTTAAAACAACACAGAAAATAACCTGCAAATTCTAATAAATCATTTGATTTAATTTTTTTTCTTATTTGCACATTTTTAACTTCAATTAAATATACTACTCTCCCTTCCCTGTTTAAGCTATTAAAGGGCAAAAATTAGTATTATTAATCCCTGGTTATTATGATTAATTCATCAATAAATATTTTATTAATTATTGCAAATATTCATTCTTATATGTGTATGCTATGTTCTTCACAAATAAATAATAAAAACTGTATTTTATAAACTATTCTAATTTAATTGGTAATGATAATTTAAAAGTATCTTGTATTTAAGTTACTCTAATTTAGTAAAAGATACAAGAATCTTTTATCTTGTCTTTTTGATTATTTGAAAAAGATACTAGTATCGTATCTAAGATTCATTTTTTTTAAAAGAATCTGTATCTGTATCTAGATTCTTTTTCTGGAGGACCTACCCAACTCTGTCACCATATCTTATTAAATGTTAGATTAGCTAAATGACACTTTACAATAAAAATTAATGAAATAATCCACCTCTGTTTTATATTTTATTAATTAATTTCACTAATTTTATTTATAATTTGATATAAATTATGATAATCATAATATTACTAAAATATGTGTGTATTTAGTTAATAAAAATTCTGTAAATAATGTGAAATATTAAAATACGAAATATTTTATAGATTAAATAATAACCATTCCATTCTGATAAAAATCATAACTTAAAATAAATATTATAAATAAATTTGTGATATAACCTAAATGCCTTCAGGTAGTTAGACCCATTATCAGTAACCATCTTGCAAACTTTATTATGAATCCTAAAAGACTTGTGGATGTCAATTTTATTTGCAAGTACGTCATATGTCTGGCATCCTATAATCCTTTTAAGGGCTAAGGCTACAGATCTTCTTTTTAAAGTCCTAGGGTCTAACCAATGGCCTGTGATTCCCAAATAAGCTCTAAAAATATTTAATCAGATCAATTTATAAATATAAATAAGTTTTTACCTTCTGTTATGTGTTCAACTATCTGCCGTGGTACATACATAAGATATATCTGATAACTCTATTATTAGAGCATCTTTCATCACTTTGAAGTTGTCGGCTATTTTATTCATAAGTGTCTGGCGACATAAAACTGTTGTGCCAGGGGATAAAGTTTTAATCATCAGAGTAAATGATGGATTATCAACCAAAGACACTGGCTGAACTGTGTCAATAATAAAATCAACAATAACTTTATCAGCCAATTTTTGTGAAATATTGGCATGTTTATTATCAGTTAATTTGGTTTGGATAGTATTTGTCTTTTTGAATGAAGATTCTCCTATACCAAAATTTTTTATATGTTTCTCTATTTCCTTATAGCAATTGGCGTGAACAGTCTAATAAAATAAATAATATTATAATGTAAAAATAACAATTTACCTTTAGGTGTTTCTTCAGGTTATAGCTACTCGATTTATTTGATGATATATTTTTTTTACATTTTAAGCACATGAATTTGAATCCAGATTTTGTTTTAATATTTATTTTAAAAAATTTTTCAAATTTAGGGAATGGAAAAACGTTATTAGAGCTATTAAGTACATTTTCTTCCATTGAATCTTCCATATCTGAATCACTTTCAAGGATTTGGATATCCATGGACGATGCCATTTTAGATTATTAACACAGATTGAAAATATAAATTAAAAATTGAAAACATATTTAAATTTCAAAATTAAATAATAAATTATAAAAATTATAATTAATTATGATATTATATTTAAATTTTCATGTTTATACTTACATTCATTATATTTTTAAAAGTAGCGAAGTAGCGCGCTACTTAGCTACTTTTAAAAAAAGTAGCGCGCTAAAAAATTAAATAATTTTAAAAAAGTAGCGGCTATATAACAACTCTGCAAGATAAATTGTTTTTGTATTTTCATAATCAAAAATAATATTGTTTCATTTATATTATATTTTGTGTGATAATGATCAGCAGGGCCATAATTTCCTTCCCTTGTTTATATTATAGTTTGGGATTTGGAATTTATTTAATATTAGATTATATTTTTTTTAAAAAACATATAATTTAGCTAACCCTTTTAATTCTTTTCATCATGATCAAAATAATATTTAGCCCTCTTACTTATAAAACTTTCTCAACTTATAAATAGTGTTGTTAAACGGCTCGATTTGAGCCGATTTTTAGAAACTGCTAACTCAGCATTTTATCCAGAAAAATGTTGTCTAAGCCTCGAGATTTCGTTAATAGATGTTCAAAATTTGTGCCATCCATGAGCCAAATCTTAAGGCTTGCATAATAATTTTCCTATAAAAATATTGAGTTAGCCGTTTTTAAAAATCGACTCAAAATGAGCCGTTTAACCACATTACTTATAAAAGGAGTTAAAACTTAATTTATGTATAAATTTTATGCATTTTAAGAAAAATTAAAATTCTGTCAAACAATTTGAATTTAACATCAAAATTTTATTTCTTATTATAAATTTTTATTAATAGTAAATTATATCAAAACATTTTTTGTTTAGATGTGCATAATAAAGTTATATTTATGACAAAACTTAAATATTCTTGTGTATTTAATTTTAAAATGAGATTAAGTGGTTTGGAAAGCCTTAAGAGTTTATTTAGCCTCCTTTTTAATTTTATTTTTTAATATAAAAATCTCGCGATTAATAGAGTAAGATTTTATGGTTATTAGCCTAATAATATTATTCTAATTTTAGAATGCTTGCATAAAAAAATATGGAAGGCGTTTTAAACAAAATATTAATATAATGACAATGAAGCGGTGACGAAGCTTCCATAGAAGCAAAGGAAGTATTGCTTTCCTTGAAATTTTTCCTATAAAATTCTTAAATGTATTGTGTAATTGTACGTTTAAAAAATAAGCATTGGGGTAGTAAATAAAAAAAAAATGCTTATTTTTTTAATATACCTTTTTTTTAAAATAAAAAATGTTTTCTTTTTTAAAAGCAATAATTAATGTTTAATAAAATTATATTATTTAAAATTTATTAAGATTATCAGAGTTGTATAAAAAGTATCTATATCTTTATGCTATTTCAGAGGTATCTGTATATGTTTTTGGAAAGACTCATTTTGATATACTTTTATTTAAAGCTTTTTTATCTATGAAATAAAAATATTGTAAATATCTCGTATGTATGAGCATATAAATAAATAAATATATTATCAATTATTAACTAATATAATAAAAAAAAAATATATAATAATATTTTTTTTCCAATTTATATCTAGAGAAATCAGTTTAAGATTGAATATTTTTAGCATGCAAAGGAATTTATAAATCCTTGCTTAGCCATGACGCCCATTAATTATAAATATGATACACAAAATTATTTTAAGCGAATAAATTTATTTAGAAATTTATAACATAATTTTATAGATATTCCACTCATTTTTAATGAATATATTATAAATTTAATTAAAAAAAATTTTTTTTAAATTGTAAATCAATTTTTGATTTTGATTGAAAAAAAACTTAATATTAAAATCTAGCTATAACTATAATTCAGTAATTGATCATTCTACTCAAAAACAAAGACGAATTCTATTTATTTATATATTTTAATTATTTTTATGGTTTGATTAAATAAAAATAAATAAAAAAATTTTGATTGATTCCCTAGTAGTAAACTTGACGCTTCAACACTGTGAGCCCTGGAATTTAAGTTTGCTAAGCAAGAAATGAAGTGTTAAAATATAGTTTTACATATTATGTATATTATATATAAAATTGTTGATTTTATTATTTATATTATATTTAAAATTGTTAATTACAGACATATGTCTATTGCCAAAGGATGTTGGACCATGTAAAGCTGCTTTTAAAAGGTGGTATTACAACTCTATGAAGAGAAAGTGTTTAGAATTTATCTACGGGGGTTGCAAAGGGAACTCAAATAATTTCACTTCCTTGAAAATTTGTAAAAAGACTTGCAATAGAAATTAAGATTTATTTAACTATAAATTTCATTCCAATATTTTAAATTAGAGAATTTGCTAATATATATTATTAACTAGTAATTCTATATTTCTCCAAAATTAAACACATTTATAAATTAGATATACATATTATGATATTTACATTATATAAATCAGTCATAAAAATATTTGTAATAATTATTTTTACGATATTCCTCATGTATCAGTTCTATACTAATTATATATTGCGTTTGTCACCTTTACTTGTTAATAAATTAACAATATAAAAATACATTTTCATATTTCAGCTTACATTCTATTATTTAAATTATATATATATATTATGATATAACGAAATAGGGATTTTATAATATTTTGTAAAATGCTATGCAACTAAATTTTGTAGGTTTTAAATGTACATGACAAAATTTAGCCGGGTGCATTGGTCATTAGAGAACTGCAAAGTAATTTTTTCGCAACCCGAGCCCGACCCGAGCCCGAGCACACATTTTTTAGTCCAACCCGACCCGAGCCCGACCCGAATAAAATTTTGCAATTTAAGTTTTAATATTATAATAATCAAAAAAAAATTTATGTGTATTTATTCAGTTCAGCCACCTTAAATAAAAGATTATTTGACCGCCATAATCTATTCAAGATATATATTAAGTTGCATTTTATTAAATTTGTAAAAAATATTATAAAACGATATCAACAAAGCCTTCCCCATGAATTGTATCGAATGATCTCAAATCACGTCCACAAATAGTAAGCACCTTTGGGCACTCTTTTTTCAATTTTGTACAACTTTTGAGTTTTTTCGGATCAGTACCAAAAAGACTATCAATTGTTAATTGTGCCTTTTTACTCTCTGCTGTTGTACTTGTATTTGTATATACACATTTATGTCTTTTAAGTTGATTTGTACCTAAAATAATTTAATAAGATCATATTTTATGTATAAATATCTAATCTGTTGTTATTGAATTATATACATAAATAAATTTGCATATAATACAAATGACATAATTAAGCTTTTCTTTATTTTATATATAAATTAAAATTTCTTCCATACATCGGATTTTCCATTAAGATTCTCCCTTACTTCATACTCTTTTGTCTTAATCTTTTCACCAATTCTTTTAAATTTTGTATCCATTGAGATAATTTTTTTAATATGGCTGTGTCTAAAATCTAAAAAAAATATTTAAAATGACTTTAATCAATTAGATTAAAATAAACAGAGTTGGGCAGTACTGCGAATACTTGTATCTAAGATACATGATACAAGATCCCTTTATATCTTGTACTCAGTATATTTTGACATTTTTAATAAGATACTAATATCTGTATCTAAGATCCTTAATTCTGAAAAGAATCTTGTATCTTTTTCATTTTCTTGACAAAAGATACAGATACAGATTCTTTTTAATATTCATGTTTTAAATTTTACATATCACAGTATACATCTTATTTTCTTTGAGAATCTTGTTTTTCTGCCATATTTTAAAATATTGACAACCAAAATTAGCTGGAAAATTTACAACTCATATTAAGGTAGATAGATAAAAAAATAATAATACCAAAACGAAATAAGTAAAGATTATATTTTATATATAAATGTAACTTAGAATATCATTACCAATTTTATATAATATTTTTTAATTTCTAGGATGATTAACATTTATGGTAGTGAAATTTAAATTATAGAAATAAGTTCAATCAAATCCCAATCTTAAATTTTATATGGAAATTTTTTAAAACAAATGTTAAAAAAGACAATGTATAGGCTAGATAAATAATAAATAATGAATAAAATTTATCTTTAGCACATAAAATATGTCTTATCTTGTAATTCACGGGAAACACACAATTTAGTGATAAAATAGTTTGGTATCCGGTTGTTAGGTTTATAAAATAATAATTAATAATGACATGACATGTTAATATGATTGACATTTTAATCCTAAAATGTGATAAATATTAAATAATATGATTTTATAATTAATATTATAAATTATACTGACTATTTAAGATATTAATATTATTATTTATTTTCAGGTCGGGTCGGGCCGGGTCGGGTCGGGCTACGGACAGCCCGTGCAGTTCTCTATTGGTCATTATGGGTTATGAACTCGATGATTTATTAGTAATTGATAAACTGAAAAATTTGATATAATATGAATCAAAAAAAGGTGAAAATAATAAAATGGCGAAATAATGTATAAAACAAATTACAGAAAGAAGTAAAAATAATGTATATTATATATTTATATAAAAATTGCTACCAATACTTAAAGACCTTTTTCAGAGCCAACTATAACCCAACAGCCCTCTTCAAGGCTTCTTACCTTGAGTAATGGAGATATTCAAGCCTCGGCGCATGGACCACCAAACCGGAAGAGAGAACTGCTCACTTCCCAGGCTGGTTAAAAACGATAAATGCATATATAAGAGAATTGAGGCGCCAGATCTTTTCTCCAGAGGACGATCAAGGTTCCGACGGCTAAGTAGCAGTAATCTTCCACCATCTCCGCAACCAGATTCCACCGTCGCCAGCTACCAGTCGGAATCTTCATTTGATGTATGTGGTTTCTCTTTTGTCCGAAGATTCTTGCATCTTTAAATATAATGTAAAATTTAATAAAAATGTATTAGAAAGGAATCAACTTTTTTTAATTCATTAAAAGTTGTAAAAAAAGATTTGATTAATGATAACATTGAGATATAATATTTTATTTATAGATCAAAACCACGTTTTTTAGATCATTACTAATTTGGATTCTTAGCACAGTAATCTGATGTGCATGGGGGACCCCCAATTTTGGAAAGTATCCTACTAAACTCTTTCCGTTATCTATCAATCTATAAACAATAAATTTTAAAAAAATGAGTAGGTGAGACCAGGGCTATCCGGCCGTTTGGGTAACATGGCAAACGATCTGTTTTTCATTTTTAAGACTAATTTCAAATTTAGTCAAAAGGTATATTTCTTTACATGCTACTAGTTTATTTAGTAATGGGGGCTTCTTATTCATAAAATATCGATCAAAATTCTTTTTAGCCCTTTTTCAACAACCTTTTTTAAAAGTATTTATTTGCCTCTAGAAGTATAAATACTATTTCTAATTTTATAAAACTTATATGCCACATTTACCAATACGTAGAAAATTTCTAGGTTATCTAGAATGGTTTTTATAGCTATTTAGGCGAATTCTCTATCCCCGAGCCTAAAAGTCAAAGGGTAACATGACAAATAAAAGAGGATTAAATTGCATTGGAAAAAATTATTAAAATCTAAAAACGATAAAAATAAATAAGAAAAAGTAAAATTGTGTAATGTATGGCAAAATTAATTACAATAAAAAAAAGGCGAAGACTGAATAAAGTGTACCAAATGTCCCGAATGGGCACATTTGAGTTGTGCCAGAAATGATCCATTATGCTGTGCATTCTTATTGTGAGGAATAATTCTTTTTAAATATATCATATGTCCAATATTGTGTTTTATAGGTTAGATTTTATTATTGCCATAATATCTCAAGGATCTTGCCATTTTATCCATGGTCGCCGGTAAATTGTAAAAGATCACTACGAAATCCCTAGTTATTTTTAGGTCAATGAGGTGGCTATACATAATTGATACAATTAGTTTTATCCTCTAAAATAAAAAATTAAAATTTTATCGTAAACGAAAAAAACTTGGAGGGGAGACCAGGGCTAGTCGGCGCAATTTTTGTCAAAATCATCATAGCTCCGAAAATAATTATCATATAGAATCTTACAAAATACCAATCGATACCTTAAACATCTATCTATAAATATATGCTGTTATATTTTTTAAATATCTAATATTTTTTTCTCTAAAAAAGTTTTAGTAAAAGTAATTTTTTGAACCTAGTAGCCCCAAACCCGTGGTTAGTGGTTCATCGATGGGGCTAGTCGAATCAAGGGGTTTATTAGGCTTCCTATGAGACAAAAAAAAATTTTTTCAGATTTTAATATATAACTATAATTCTTTATTTATATAATGTTCTATTTACAATTATAACAAATAAAATAACAATCTTTTTTGGCACAGGATCCTTGCGCCCAACCTTTACATACTCTACATTGAAACCAATCTTCAAAATTATGGAAATTTTTATAATCCTGTTTACAAATAATACATACATCTTTGATTAATTTTTTAACAATTCTCCCCTATACAAGTTCGCAATTTTTTAAAACTATGACAATGAATGAAATGTTTTAGGGAAAAATAGCAATTAAAAAGGGGTTATCTAATTAGAAATATTTTTAGGAAAAATATAATCAGGCCAAAAGTCTGCAAAAATTGAACTTAAATCCTTCCAATATAATTTTTTAAAAAAATTGAGTTATAATATGGATGACCACAATTTTAAATGTCTTAAATTTGTGCAGAATTGAATACCATTTCAAATTTTTTTAACAGGGCTAGATCGGGGAGGAGGTGGGGTAGCCCGCTCTAGGTTATTAGAAAAAATATATTTTGCTAAAAGAAATATTTTGACAAATTATATAAAATGAATTTTTAAAAGATGAACTTATATAAGAAATTAGATATAAAAATACATCTACACACTAAATTTATGGATAGGCTCAGTTAAAATTATTGCGTTACATTGCTAGCCCGTCAATCGCTTTATTCCGGTTTTCCCTAATATTTTTATACTTTCCATTATATTTGTAAATCATATCTTATCCTTTTTTGCCTGCTTTCATTCTAAACATTCATTTATTATGAAAGCTATATTAATAATTTGAATAAAAAAAAAATATTTTCTATGTATGTGGCGGTCATTAAATAAAATGAATATAAACTTAAAAATGATATATTTTTGTTTTCAAGAAACATTATTAATCATAGATTATAAGATTCTGATAAAGATTTTAAAATATTTTTATCATATACTCACATCTATTAAAAAAAATCGCATATAATAAAAAAATGTTGTGGAAAGACCATCTATTAGGCTGTATTTTTTTTCTCCCTTTGAAAAAAAAGTTGTGTTTGCAATGGCCCTGTACATTTTATGAATTAATTAAAATTTTATAAATTAATTAACAGGAATCGCTATTATTCATTTTTTTAGATAAATGTATTAAAGAATAAATTTATTTATTAAAATCCTGTTCAAAGTCATTTTCTTTGTTTCATAAGTAGATGAGAATTTAAATTGCAATCCAATTGTTTCTATTACACCAATAATCTTTGCCAAAAAAATTTAATAAGTAAAAGATAAATATATAATCCAGAAAAATTGTCAC